CCCCCCCCGCCCGCAAAAAAAGGGCTGGGGATCTAGCTCAGTGAAGAGGCCTTGGGTTGAATCCCTAGTACTGTTTAAAAAAAAAAGAAAAAAGACTTGAAGGAAAATTTAAAAGCTTCACTTGTGAAAAATTTGGGGAATTTTATATATAAGCTGATTGAGAAAAGTCATGCTACTCCTGTTATTTCAATTGATATGTGACTTCCAACCTAATTTCATATGTATCACAGTTCTTTTTGACTTTGACTATAATGTAATGCTTCTCTAAAAGGCCTAAAAGCTCTAAATAATTCAAAAGTAATTATGTAGTTCATCGGGCCAGGGATTTAGCTTAGTGGTTCTGGCGCCTGCCTCGCAAGCGCAAGGTCCCGAGTTCAATCCCTGATACCAAAAAAAAAAAAAAATTATGTAGTTCATCAATTATGTGTAATATGCTCTTAATACAGAGTTTAGCACGTAGCAGTTTTGCTTTTCTAATACCTTGGTGAATAATAGATAAAAAGGAGATCTTTTGAGCACTTGTATTATTCATTATGCCACTGTGATGTAATGAATAACTCTTAAATAAGGATAGAAGTTTTACTTAAAACACTTGTGGGGAAACAGCACAGACAGCTTGGTGGAGCATGGGGCCTGACCTGACTCCTGCTCTCCTGCTCTCAGTCCCACCCACAATTTGATGTTGTCTCTCTTTAACATAAGGTGGCTGTATTTGCTGAGGAGCTGCAGAAGAATTTTTCACGTCTGTCCTTAAGCTTCTTAAAGCATCGAGATTTATGTAGATTTATTGCTAGTATAATGGACAAATTAAATATTTAAAACATCCCTTTAGTAACTAAGATGAAAGTACTCTATTCATTCTATACTTAAGCCTAGTTCTCAAGATGAAGTACTCTGCCAGGATGGTGCATACCACCTATAATGCTAGCTCTTGAGGAGGCTGAGGCAGGAGGATCTTAAGTTTGAACTCCATTCTGTCCTTGTGCCTCAGCCTCCGGAGTACTAGAATTGCAGGCATACACCATGTTGGTTTTTCAACATAAAATAAAAATAAAAGGCTAAGGATGTAGCTCAGTGGTAGAGTGTTTACCTAGCATGTGCAGAGACCTGAGTTCAATACCCAGCATTGAAAAAAAGAAATCCTCAGGTTACTAGGAATAGTAAAGTCTTTCCTATTGGCCTAGCTACTCATTACCAGGAAAACTAATAATAAAGGAGGCTAGTTAATTATTTATGGGAACCCACAGAAAAGGTTATCAAGTAACTGGTAAAGCAGCTTCCTTTGTTCTCTTTACCTTCTCCTGGGCTTTACCTAGTCAAACTGGAGTAGCAAAAAGTGCTGGACTACTTCTTTGCAGACCTGGCCACCTGTCCCAGTGCATAGTCAATCCCAGTGTCACTAGGGGATAGTTGCTTAATTTCTAATTCATTTTTCATCTGTAAAAGGGAGATAGTAGTAGTAACTCTCACTAGTCCCCCTTTTTGGTTGTAAGCTAAACTGAGAAGTGAAAAAGACTTTACTACACAAGTGGAAGGTATTATTAACTGACATTCAAATTCAGAGGGGGTGACTACGGGGAATATTAACTGCTAGTTTTAGAGACCACAAGTCAGCAGCACTGCTTCCCAACAGCTGCAGTTTACTAGTAGGCAGTGGTGTTCCAGGTCCAAATCTTAGTTTTCTGCCAGGTTCTGTTTTGTTTATATCCTTTTTTTGGTTTTTTTGGTACCGGGGATCGAACCCGGGACCTTGCGCTTGCAAGGCAGGCTATATCCCTTTTTTGATAAGTGTTCACTGCAAAAATTTTGGGAAGTTGAACTACCACTCACCAATAATCATTATACCATTTTGGTTTGTTTCATTCTTAATCTCTCTATATGTGTGTGCATACATTATATATACATTTTCATAAAATTGGGATTATATTTAGAATCTTGCTTTATATCTATTGGAATTAATGTCACAGGCAAGTATTCATGACACAGTCTCAGAAATAACGACCACATTATAGAACGAGCTCTTAAAGTAGAATGAGTATAATTTTGTGGCTCAGGGAAGGGACTTGGACCTGACTGCCTTGATTTGCATTTTAGCCCCATACTAGCTATGTGACCTTGGGCAATTTACTTAGCTCTCTTTGCCTTAGTTTCCTTGTCTGTAAAGTGGAGATAAAATAATACAGTGCTTATAGGTCATTAGGATTAGTCTCTAATCTCCACAGGTGCTTAGAATAATGCCCTGCGTGTGTTATAATAGTAATTGGATTATTGTGATGATTATCATCATTGCATCCCTGAGCATTTCTTTAGGCTAAACCAGACCTTCTGTAGACTTTGCTCTTCCCTTTCAGAAGACAGCATCCCACGAATACACACAGAAAAGCGGAAGACAAGCCAGTACTTCTCCAGCAAGTATAACAGAGAAGGTAACATTTCTGGGGAGAAGGCGAGGCTGTGAGTCTGTTGTGTGTGTGCAGCTCTGAGGTAGTGTGTTTGTTTAGCTCTTAGCCCTCCTCGACGCAAAGCCTTTAAAAAGTGGACCCCACCTCGGTCGCCTTTTAATCTCGTCCAGGAGACACTGTTCCATGACCCGTGGAAGCTCCTCATCGCAACGATATTTCTCAATCGGACCTCAGGTCTGTGGGATATTCTCATCAGTGTGTTAATAGAGACAAGTGATGGAGAGAAAGAACCCTGAGTAGACTGAGGAGGTTCAAGGTCATTTTGAGTCCTTATGACCTCAGCTAAGACCTTCTTTCCCTCAGACTCTCCACCCATTAGAATGTTAGACCACATGGCATGCAGCCGACCTTCCAGGTCTTCAGTTATCTCCTCCTCCACTTTAGTGTTGGTCTTCAGTGAAAGTCAGTTAATTAACATTTCCCCACCCTCTGTCCTGTATAAGAGCATTTCCATTTCACAGAGTTACCTTTCTGTTCTGTATGCTGCTTCTACACTGGTCACCTAATGGTCTGATTATTTGAGACTGGTGTCATGCACAGCCAGTGTCAGTATAATTTCTGTTAGCCAAGTACATGTGCTATGTCCGTCTTTGACTCTGGAAGTGGCTGCTGGTTCAGATAGTGGCTTTTTGCCAATGGCTAAACAAACCAAACCTCCATGTGAGCTTTCTAGATGAGAAGCCAGCTGGCCTGAGTGCAGCCCTCCAGAGTCTACCATCCTGTGGCTTCTGCACTTCCAGGTAAGATGGCAATCCCCGTGCTCTGGGAGTTCCTGGAGAAGTACCCCTCGGCCGAGGCAGCGAGAGCTGCAAACTGGAGGGATGTGTCGGAGCTGCTTAAACCTCTCGGCCTCTATGAGCTCCGAGCCAAAACCATTGTCAAGTTTTCAGGTATGCTTCTGACACCCGAGGAAAACCAGCTGTTTTTATTTCTTTTTTGGAGGGGGAGGGGGTTGAGACAATCTCACTAGGCAGTTCAAGCTGTCCTTAACTCACTGTATCCCAGGGTGGCCTCCAACTCACTGTGATCCTCCTGCCTCAGCCTCCGAAGTGCTGGGATTACTGGCATGTGCCACCAGGCTGGGCTACAACTGTTCTTATTTCAGAGAGCCACACCCTGACCTGTAATCTCCTCAGGTGCTACATTAACAGGTGACCTGGTTCACACACCAAAGGGATGCAAGAACAGCTGATTGGCCCAACTATAGTCTTCCACTGACTCAGGCAGCCAGTCTTGGCCAGCCAGGGTCAAAATTCAGAAAAAAGTTGGGAAGTGGGAAGCCCAGTCCTCAAGGGTGTTACCTCTGCAGGGAGTGCAGCACAAAACAGTGTAGGAAGTGGCAGTGACCAGGGTGCTTGGAAGGGAGAAGAAAGTGCAGCCATAGCCAAAGCTGTTCGAGTGCATCTCAGTCACTTTCCTGTGGCTGAGATATAATGCCCAACACCCACAGCTTGAGGAGGAGGGGCTTATTTGGGCTGTTTTAGTCCATGGTCAGCTGGCTCCCAGGCAGGGCAGCAAGGCAGAAAGCCTTCCAGGCCATGCCCCCAGCGATCCACTGCCCACACTAGGCTGCACCTCCCAATATCGAATTAACTCTAAACTCCTCAGTGGGCCAATCCATGATCCAGCCACCTCCCCAAAGCCCCACTTAAGACTGCATGAGGCTTTGTGGGGACATATAGATATGAACCATAGCAGAGGGTGTCTTTCTGTCCATCCTGCACCCATCATTACTCGGAGGGAGGCGTTGTCCCTGTGGCAACCTCCCTTTGGGACATGTGTTCTCCAGATGAGTACCTGACGAAGCAGTGGAAATATCCAATTGAGCTTCATGGGATCGGCAAATACGGCAATGACTCTTACCGGATTTTTTGCGTCAATGAGTGGAAGCAGGTAAGGCCCACTCCCAGCTGTGACATTTCCAGAGTGTTTGGGAGGCAAAAGAAGTCACCATGTGACTAAAACTTAGAGTTCTGTTCCCAGCTCGAGGGCAGCAGGTGGCTGGTACACTGCCCCTCAGCTGTGACCCTGCCTAATGCATCCTGCCCTGGAGCTGGTCCTACTCCTGCAGAGCACCCACTGACCTGAGTACCCCTCAGCCTCTCAGTACCTGAACCTCCTTCTGCAGTACAGCGTGTTAACCCCGACTTCCTGTGCCCCAGGGCTGGGTCAACGCTGAATTTCAGTGTTCTGTAAACTGAGTGATTATTTCGCTGTAAGATACACTTTAAACATTCTCAAATCCTGCAAGGTCGTTGTATATTTCAGGTATGTGATCCTAATACACCTTCCCCACCAAACCTTGGCAAACCAATTTTTAAAAGTACATTTTTAGCTGGCTGACCTAAGTCTTCTGCTCCTGACTGCTGTATTTCTTCCAGGTGCACCCAGAAGACCACAAGCTGAACAAGTACCACGACTGGCTTTGGGAAAACCATGAAAAGCTGAGTCTGTCCTGAAACTTTGCTATCCCAGACTCTTGTACTATGCATTGCATCTTCCTTTTTAGGCATTCTGCAGAGGAGACCAGCCACCTTCCCAGTGAGTCCAGCCCAGTGCATGCTTCCTCAGCTCATGTGCTGCTGGGGGGGCTCTGTTACTGAAAGCACTAAAAGATTCTTTGAGATTTAAATAACAGTTCTAAACATGTATGTGACTTTTTAGATATTGATACTGATGTAACGGTTAAAGGCTTCTCTAAGCTACCAATAATGCAGAGCACATTTGTGTCAACCCTGCTAAAGATTAGACTTCTGTTCTTTCTATACAGAATAATAATATGTACATATTGTTACATGAAGAATCATTGCCATTTTTTTTTTTTTTTTTTGGTACCGGGGATTGAAGTCAGGTCCTGGTGCTTGTGAGGCAGGCGACAGAACCACTGGGCTAAATCCCCGGCCCAAATTTGCCATTTTTATAGGTATTATAATATCATAATTCAAATACCGAAAGACTTCCCTTTGAATCACAAAATCCTAAATTACTAAATCTTATTTACTGATCTCCATTTTAATGTATAACTTGAAAATAAAATTGTACCTCCCTCTCCCCAAGACAGACATCCCCTTCATAAGGACCTAACCTATTTTAACAAAATATTCTCTTTTTTGGGGTACTGGGATCAAACTTGGGTCCTTGTGCTTTCGAGGCAGGCGGCAGAACCACTGAGCTAAATCCCTGCCCCCAACAAAATACATTCTTAAGCCATGGTGGTACACACCTGTGATCCCAGTACTAGGGGGGCTGAGGCAGGAGGATTGCCTAGTGTTCAAGCCCAGCTTGAACTACATACAAGACCTCTCTCAAAAAACCAAAACAAAAGTATGTTCTAGCACGCTCAGTAACCGAGAGCCACCTGTGGTACACATTAAGAAAACCTCTGCCAGGCTTCTCCATGGACCACTGAAAATCTGTGCTGGTTTGCTGGTGGAGCTTATAAGGATGAAGTGCAGGGTAATCAAAGGTTTTACAGAGTAGATTAAATAGGAAATCAATAAAAATACTATTTTTTTAAAGCCTACTTCCAAAAAAGTAGAATTGCTTTGGTATCTTGGCAGCTGCCCCGTCTCTTTGGAATTGTGGACTTGACCTAGCACCCAGGTGAACACGGGAGTATCTGCATCACAGCCTCTACCTGAGTCTTCTCTTCACGTTTCAGGCCACTTACATTACAGGTTTTATGGTATTCTAGGTCAAGCACTGAAACACCTTAGAACGCACCTAACAAAAAGTTCTGAATTATTAAGTCCTAATTACCAGTCACCAGTTTGTTTTGTTTGAAAATTAAGCCGTATGCTGGGCATGGTGGTGCACACCTGTAGTCAACACTGAGAAGGCTGAGGCAGGGGGATCACTGCCAGTGTGAGGCCAGCCTGGGTGAGTCCGTCTCAACAAAATAAAAAAAAACCTGAATAAAGGAAAATCAATTTGTGTGAGGCAAGTGCAGGCTCGACAGTGGTTTCCTTTAATGAGCAAGTATCAGACTTTGAGAGAATGGGAACACTGGCCTAAGCCTCATGCCTCTCCCCAAGACAAACCTCCATCACTCCTATCACTTCAGCAAGCATCCAAGTAGCATTTCACCAAGGGCAGAACCCGGCAGGGACCCACAGGAAGAACTGGCAGGTAATGATGGACAGGGGCACATGAAGAGCTGTAGGAGCAGGCCACGTCTCAGGTGGGGTGCAGGGCGGGTGCCCCATGAGTGAGTATTGACCAGGGTGGTCCAGCAGGTGAGCTGTGTGCTGGGACAGCACAGGTTCCTCCGGGCTACCTTGGTCTGGTGGGCCCCTCGCCTCTCCTGCAGGTAAGGTTTCTGGCCTTTGCCTGACCCCGAATCTAGGACGGGACGGCGCTGTCCCTCGAGTGTATGGTGGGTATGGGGGCCATGCTGAGGCACACGAGGACCTGCCAGGCCAGTGTAACTCGCCACTGTCTCGTGACTGGGCAGGTCGTCGAGGGCACAGACAGCGCAGCTCCATGAGGTGGCGCCCAGCACTGAGCTTTTCTTAGTACCCGTTGCTGCAGAGCAGTGTAGGTGTCCAAGGCGGTGGGATAAGCGTGGGGCCGGCCCTCCCGCGCTATTCCACATCTGCCTCACCCCAGAGAGACCCCGCGCTCTCAGGTCAGCCCTACCAGGCCGCACCCTTACACCGAGGTTTCCCTCTCCTGGGCGCCTTGGCCGTGGGGCGGACTATTCTTCCAGAGCACCAATTCCAAGGTCCCTCTGAGTTGTAGTTCGGATCGGGACTCGATTCCTTCCCGTGGCCGGAATGGATGTACCCTGGCTGTCACAATGGACGTTTCAAGCTTCACTGTTCTGGCTCTCCGTTCTGCATTTCCAACCCGAGGCGCCCTTCCTCTGTCCGACCAGGACATAGCTCCTACAGCCACTGCAGGGGGCAAGGCCTGTTCTTTGCACGAGAAAACTACGGCCTGCAGGTGCGGAGATCTGCGAGATCCCACGGTCCACACAAAACCAGGACCTCTAAATTTAAGCCTCTGAGCTCCGCCCACTAAGGCGTCCTCACCGCGGGCCCCACATCCGGGCGACTGGTGGCTGGCGATCGGCCAATCAGTGCGTGGCGTCCGTAGCCACGGCAACCGGCTGCAAGCAGGTAACTCCGAGTTCCGGGCTGTGTTCCCGGAGCCTCGCCGCGCGCCGCACCTACACTCGCCTAGGCCATGGTCGAGTCCTACGACGTCTATGACTGCCTGAGCTCGGCGCTGCTCGGTGGGTCCCAGGCCTGCCTGGCTGCAGAGCTCCCAAGACAGGCGGAGAGGGGACCCCGGGGCTAGTGAGGTCTCATTGTGCAGTTTCCTCCGGGGCAGTGGGGAGTCGGGAGGTCTTGTGCGCTTCTCAGATACCCACACCCAGCCCCGCTGCGGGGCCTGGGGCCACAGAGTCGCCTTCAGACATCCCCGGTGGATACCTGAGAAGGGGCGTGGAGGACGTGCTAGTCTGCGTGCCTGTGGTAGCCGAGGCCCCAGAGACCAGGTGGTGGCAAAGCTCTGCAGCCTTGGGTGTGGAGGGCAGAGACAAACGGATAATCACAGACTAGAGTAACACGGGAGGTGAGCCGAGTACATAGGGTATGCAGGACCGGCTCCAAGCTCCTGGAAAAGACCCTTACACCGGGGCTTACAGGATAAAAGGGAGTTCCGGAGCCAAAATTAGGTGGGGGAGAGCATTTGAGGCCCGGAGGCGGAGGCCTGGTGTACTCAGGAGACTGCTGACGGTTAGTATCTCTGGAAATGTGCTAGGAAGGTCAGAAGGGACCAGCTCATGGAAGATCTTAGAGAAGCCAGTGGGAGTGACAGGACGGGCTTGGGAACAGCCGGACATCAGGTGTGGGAGATGAGGGCCGAGGCTTCAGGCTGGAGCATCTATCGGAGAAACAAGATGTGCCGAAGCCCTTGTCACCTTTCCCAGGTGAACTCAGGCCTCTGGTCGGATTGCAGGGAGGTGAGGGGGTGGCAGGGACCTGGGGGCTGCTTGGACCAGGAGCACAGACACAGCAATCCAACCAAGCTCAGATGGCAGCAGAGGGACCTGGAGGGTAGAGGGCCCTGGAGGGTAGAGGGCCCTGGGCTGGGGGCTGCACAGGGAGGCAAATTCAGTCTTACTCGGCTGACATTGACTCCGGGTTTCAGATCCTGTGCACTGTCCAAAAGGAGAGTTCTAGCAGCAACTGGATTCGTAAAGTGGCCACCAGTTCCCGGTCGTGGGTACTGGTGTGGTGTCTCAAGAAGATGGAGGCTCATGAGAGTGCAGGGAATGACTGAGGAAAGAGGAGAGCAGTGGTATAGGCCTGGGAAGCCCGAGGAAAGCAGGGGCTGGGGAATGGTGGTCAGATGGGGGATGAGACGGGAGATATGGGAATCAGAAGCCAAGAGAGGGAGAGTTTCAAGAAAGTGGATGCCCAGCACTAGGGAGACTGAGGCAAGAGGATCACATGACTTCAAGGCCAGCCTGAACTACATAGCAAGACCCTGATTTAAAAAAAAAAAAAAAAAGAGTAGAATCACTCCGGACAGCTGCAGTCTGTCCTGGAAAAGTGGGGACAAGTGTTTTCTGGGGCAGATTCTGGGTCAATATAAGGTATTTTCTAGGGTCAGGGTTAGGCAGCTACTGTTAAGCAAAGACCTCCATGTCTCCAGAGTACAAGAGAAGAAGAGTCCACCAGTGGCACTGTAGTAGGAGGCCCTGACCCGAGTATGGCAGGCAAGGCTGAGTGCCTTCTTCCCCATCTCAGCACCAGGAGTTCTCAGTCTTCCCCGGGTAGGCGAAGGCCGCCTCACTTTCTGCCAGCTGCCCAGGACCGGGAGAGCTGAGGGGAAGCCTGGGGGAGGTAGGAAGGCTACGAGGGTGGCCACGTGACACCTGCACCGGATCGTGTGACAAGAACTCATCTAGGGGAGGCTTAGGGGATACCATGTCCTTCAGGGGCATAGCAAATGTGAAAACTCAACACAGAGAGCCAGCAAGGGGCGAAAGAGCTGGAGCCAGCAGGAGGGAAGCGGAGTGGGGGGAGGGGCACAGGCTGGGGGCCTGGGGGAGGCAGGGGTCTTTGAAGAACCCCCAGAAGCCATGGAAGGACTTCAAATTCGTGAAGGTGACCAGATCCAATTTCACATTTTAAGAAGACTTCTGGGCAGGAGCAGAACATCTAGCCAGGCATGGTGGCATAAACCTGTGATCTTGGCACTCAAGAGACTGAGGCAGGCAGATCTTTGGGAGTTCGAGGCTATCACAGTGAGTTCAAGGTCAGCCTGGACTACATAGCAAGACCCTGTCTCAAAAAAAATTTTTTTCTTTTTTGTTAAAGGAACATGTGAAGGGAGGTCTAACAGGTCCCTGTAGATACAGCAAGGCCGGTGAACAGCACAGCTGTGTGAGCTTCCCTGACACAATGCCAGCCTGACTTCCCACCAACCTCCTCCTCCACTGCACACAGTTCTCCCAAAGTGCAGAGCTGTTTAGGGACCCTAAGGTCCCCAAAACCACACCCCAAGCCCCCACCGGCTCCCCACCCCATGAAACCCAGCCACCCTCCAAGGGTACCTTGTCACCCTGGTTGGCACCCTTGGTCCTTCTGGCACACTGGCCAGCACCCAGCCTTGACTGGGTCTGCATGCTGCACAGCACCAGCCCTGCTGTGAGGTAGCAGAGCACTGCGTCACCCCATGAGCACGGGAAGACATGAGACAGCTATGCAGAGGAGCCGCTCCTGTAGTGTGGGCGCTCACTCTTATCTTCTAACCCTGAGAGGAACACGGGGCAGCGCAGCGTAATATAAGCAGGGTAGGTGGGGCAGGGCGGGAGCTTGGACCTCACTCCAGTGGTGTCTGGGGACCTACAGAGGTTTTTAAGCAGGAGAATTTTGGTTTTAGGATGAAAATGACAATGATATTTTCACTAGCAATATTATGTATCTCGTCACTTTAGAACCACTTTCATTGTTTTGGTTTTTTGAGACTGGGTCTCACAATATAGTCCAGGCTGGCCTTGAACTCAATCTGTACCACAGGCTGGCTTCAAACTCTCAGTGATCCTCCTGCCTCAGCCTCACAAGTGCTGGGATTATAGATGTGTACCATAGTACCCAGCTATCAATAGCACATTTCTCATGTACAAAATCACTGTAATAAATTGACTGATTCTAAACATGTCCAACACCTGATAGGAGGTCCCTTCACGATACCCACTCTGCAGATGAAGAAACTGAGGCTGTCAGGGAAGTGATTTGCACTAGTCCACGCAGCCAAGGAGCTGCAGGCCTGGACTCAAGGTGGAGCCCCCTGGCCCCAAAGCCTCTGCACTCCAGGCACACATGGGGTTGCCTCCATGATAAGATCAGAACACACCAGATTTTTCTGATTGCTGAGAAGGGTACTGGTGGGTGAATCAGGCGTGGTGGCACTTGCCTGTAATCCCAGCACTTGAGAGGCTGAGGCAGGAGGACAGCTGCAAGTTCGAGGCCAGCCTGGAATACACAGCAAGGACCAGTTTTCAAAAATGAGGACTGGGGACTGGAGGTGAAGAGGATTCAATTAGTGAGGCATACAAAGCCCTTAGCTCAGTGTGCACTGTTGGGAGTGCCAGTCACCTCAGATGGCCATAATGGAGCCCGGCTGGAGACCCGGCCCTGATGCCCAGCCTGGTGCTAACCTGCCTTCCCTGGCTCCTTTCCATCCTCTTCCAGGAAGGAGCTCACCTTACCCATCTTCTCCCAAGGGTTTGGCCAGCCTGAGACTCTGGAGGGCAATGACAGCACCAGTGTGGTCCCTGCCTTTGATCCTGAGCCAGTCATTGCCCACTGCTTCAAGCAGTTCAAGCAGGAGGACTTCCACCTGCTGAAGAGCCACCAGCGGGTCATCATCGTGCCTACCCAGCAGGGACAGGCGCCCATGGATCGTGAGCCCCAGCCCCCACCACCTGCCCCCAACCTCAGAGTCCTGGGTTCTGGGGACATCCCCGGGCTGAGGGAGAACAGGGCAGCCTGGCTGCACCACAGGGTGAAGCTGCGGAAGGAGCTGGAGGCCCTGGGTGACGTGACTCGGTGGCTGGAGAACAAGCCCAGCATCACCCCCTTGGAGGCCAAGGTCCTGAACATGCTCCATGAGGAGCGAAAGGCCCAGCTTACGGTCGAGGTGACCACCACCACAGTCGCCAAGGTGAGCAGGGCACTGGGCAGGTGTCACACTGCAGGTTTAAGGATGCCTTGTCCTTTTGTTCTCGTGGTTTGGTCAGGATGGGGATGCTTCGTCCCCTTTCACAGAGGAGCAAACATAAGTCCAGACAGAGAGGTGTGTTAGTCAGCTACTGCTGCACAACAAATACCCCCCACGGTGACTGAAAGCAACAAATATTTCTTGTTGCACACAGCCATTTCTGAGGCTTAGGAACCTAGGAGCAGCTTAGCTGTGGCTCAGAGACTTGTAATGTTGGCCTGGAACCATAATCATCTTCAGCTTGACCAGGGCAGTAGGGTCTGCTCCCTCCTGTCCAGGCTGGCAGTGGACAAACCTTTTTAAATCCCACTGCAGAAGAGACATTTCCAGCAGTCTGTATTATGGGGCACTGGGATTCGTGTGCCACATGGTTGCCTGAGGCATTGTGAGGATCACAGTTTTGGGCCTGGGAGCAAAAGGAGAACCTGTCTGTGATGGAGGACACAGCATCTCAAAGAGGCCAAGGCTTTGTCCCAACCCACAGAGGCAATGACACAGAGCCAGAACCAACTCCTTGGCTCTCCAGGATGGCTCCTTGCTGTGCAGACATCTGAAACCTCTCCTGTTCTGGGAAGGCTGGGACAGAGGGAGGCGATCTGGGTCAAACACAGCTCTGGCCAGGCATGGTGGTAGAGGTCTGTGATCCCAACACTCAGGAGGCTGAGGCAGGAGGACTGCTGCCAAATTCGAGGCCAGTTGCATGGGCTACATAGTGAGTTCAAGGACAGCTTGACCTACAAAACAAGATCCTGTCCAAAATAAGAGTAGAGGCTAGGAGTCTGGACTTCCCCAGCTCTAGGATGGAGTGTTCCTTGGGCACACAGGACACCAGGCCTATAGACCCTGACTGGTCCCCGGGAGAGATGTGCAGAGTTCGACGGCAGCTCCTGTTGTCCAGGCTGCCATTTCCTTGAGCAATCCAGGCTCCAAGGGGCAGGTACCAGCTGCTCTGCAGCCATTGCAGATACCTGCATCAGTGCCCTCCTTCTCCTCCACCCTGAGCTCCAGGCTGCCAGCCTCTCCCTGCATCTCTTCCTCTGACTCTGGGGCTGCTGCCCACCAACCCCTCCCTGCCTCTTCCAGAAAAGAGGCCCCCGACGAGTGGTGCCCCAGCTTTGGCTGCCCAAGCCACCAGCCTTGTCGGCCCTGTACACCTACCTGCGCCACCGCAAAATTCAGGTGCTGGAGCTGTTTGCCAAGGGCCTGGGCACACAGCGGAGAGTCCCCCGGGAGGAATTCCTCACCACACTGAGGACGGTAAGCACCCTGTCCCCGGCCGCCCTGAACCCTGCTGTCCCTCTATCCCCTCCCCGGCTTCCAGGGCAGTGAAGAGTAGACACAGAGCTCAGCTTGCCAGCCTGACATACACTGGGAAATGGGGGGACCTGTGGCCAAATTGGATCCCAGAACCACCCCTGGATGGGCCAGGGCACATCCCCATCCCTGGCACAGCAGAACAAGTGGAAGATTGTACAGCAAACTCCAAAACCACTCAGCTGCCCAGGGAGTCGCCCTGGCCCCTCAGACCTAGTACTGCACCCTGGGGAGCCAGCATGCAGCCTGCTGTCCCTGGGTATCACTCACGAAGGGGTCTCACCACTGACCCAGGACCCGTGCTAGGCCTGCTGCTACCCCTAGACACACTGTCACCCTGCCTGCTCCAGATGATATAAATCCATGAGAAATGAAGTTAGAAATCCAACTCTTCCATCACACCCACCTCATCCCGAGTGTTCAGTGGTCACTCGCAGCCCCACCACTACAGGAAAGGAAAAGGAAGAAAAGGAAGGAAGGAAGGAAGGAAGGAAGGAAGGATGGAAGGAAGGAAGGAGGGAAAGGAAGGGTCACAGGTGGCAAGTGGTGCCTCTGTTGGCCCTGGCAGGTGTAGGACGTTTCCCCCAGGGTCCAGTAGGGCATCTGCAAACCATGACAGCCCGCTTCCTGTTCTTTTTAAAATAAAGTTTTATTGGAACATAGCCCCACAGTCATCTTTGTATTGTCTGCAGCTATTTTCCTGCCACAGGCAAAGACTGCATGACTCATAAATGGGAAATATTTATATGACCACACACCAACTCCCTCTGATGATGTAATCACTGTGCACTGCAAACAGGCACGATTGAAGATTAAAGGACCCTGGAAATACTTTGTGGCCTTTTATAGAAAAAGTTTGCTGATCCCTAGTCTAAATGAATTTACCTTTCATATATTCTGAACACAAAATACATTTTAAAAGCCTTTTTCAGAAGCTGGTGCCTAATTTTTTGCACCTTTAAATCAATTTTCTGGCCAGGGCTTTTAGCTCAGTGGTGGAAGATTTGCATATGAGTGAGGCCCTGGGTTTGATCTCCACCACCATAAATATAAATAAATAAATTCCTGGATGCATCCTTTTAAAAAACCCAGCAGTTTTCACACATTTTAGAATGTGCAAGTACCTAAACAACACTCTGCAGCAATTTCAAACAACAAAAAGACAGTCTTTGATCAACATAGCCAAACAGATGAAATATTATTAAATCCAGACTTACTTAGGGAAAGTCCTAGGAGCGATGATTGTCATCTAAAGAAATGGAATGACACAGTTCTAACCCCTGCAGGCTTCTTTTCCTGCAGAATCAGTGTCATCGACAAGCATTACATGTCTCAAAGTTGCTTAGGAAAATAAAGTGTAGGGTTTATCTGACCCTACATATTTTATTGCAGGTAGGGAAGGCTTAGGTTTTCCTCATCAGCAAGGATGATGGACACATGAAATCGCCCTTCTTTATCCAGCACTGAGATTGGTAGGGAGTGGAGTGGGAGCCAATGACTGACTGTAAAGCTGGCAGCAAATCTGGACTGGTCTTTGGAGTATGGATAGTTTACAGGCAGAAGAGGGGAACTGCCCTGCAAAGGCAGAGGGTAAGGGGGGGAGGGCGCTGGAGATGGGGCCAGGGCAGCCAGCCTAGGGCAGATGGGAGCCTTGGCCTGGTGACTTCTGTTCTCTCCAGGTTGGGGTACCCCTGAAGCAGCAGGAGATGGAGGATGTGGTGATCTACCTGAGCTCCCTCGAGAACCACCATGACATCACTATGGAGGCCCTGGCCAGCACCTACAAGCAGTGGTCTCTGGCCCAGCTGAGGAGCACGGTACCCACCGTGCACAAGTGTGCGTCCCTTTTCTGCCCCAGCCTGCGTGAGGCCAGCATGTGGTCTGAGGCCTCCTTACTGTTAATCTACACCTTATGGATAAAGAGCTGACAAATATTTCCTGTTCAGAGACAGAATCAGCACACGTTTACAGCCCACTGGTTTTGGTGTTCTGTCAGGGCCATAAAAGCAGGGCTGCTATGGACAGCTGTACAGGTTGTGCACGGCTCACGTCTCATTTACCGAGCCATGTGCTTGTGGGGCTTCACCTGCCCAGACTCGGCCCAGGGGCAGGTTAGAAATGAGCTCACAAATGCTCTGAGTGTGAAGTGCCAACACATCTGTTTCTATTTTACTGCCTTTGTGGTAAAACACACCCACAATCACTGCCTGTCCCAGCTCCAGCCCCAACACAAGTGCATCTTTGCTTTTCTAGATGAAACCCACGTTGCTCTGCCCGCATCTGCCAGGTTGGCAGGAATTTAACCTCAGACATGTTGGGGGCTCCTCGCTCTCCCTAAGGGGCCCCTTGAGGCAGAGGAGCTCACTCTCCAGTGAAGGGGGGACAGGGCTCTGGAGCACACAGTCCCAACAGGAGCTCAGTGCCCACTCTGGAGTTGCCCCTGAGGAGGGGCAGGCAGCACCCTTGCCCACTTCCTGGAAGGTTTCTCACATCCAGGCTCATTGTGCCTTTTCCTATCAATCTCCATGCCTGTCATCCTAGCACTTGGGAGGCTGAGGCAGGAGGCTTTGAATTCAAGGCCAGTCTGGGCTACATAGTAAGACCCTGTCTCAAAAGAAAAAAAATCCAAAGCCAGGTGCTGTCTTGGAGTCCTTTGCGTGACCACCTGTGCTGTGAGGCTTTTGTTTGTTTGTTGAGATGGGTCTTACTAAGTCCTTGCGATCTTCCTGCCTCAGCCTCCCAAGTGCTGGGGTTATAGGCATGCACCACCATGCCTGACTTGTTGGGAGACAGTTGAGCACCTACTATGTGCCGGACATACTTCCAAGAACTGGGAACACAGCAGGGAACAGGCCAGAGGCCCTGTCTGCATGGACCAAGTCAGAGGTGTCCCGTGGAGAGGGAGGGCCCGAAGACCACAGGACAGAAGGAGCAGTGGGTGGCGGCCAGGGCTCCCCAGGTGGATGGGACACCACAAGGAGGCCCAAGGCAGGAAAGCTTCGAGGGACAGCAGAGGCTGGGGCAGCCAAGACGATGGTGGGGGGCACAGGGGGACACAGCCAAGTATTCGGGGACCGAGTGCTGGCTGGCACCTGCTCGGTGACCCTGGCTCTGGCTGGCTGCTCCCTGGCCCACGCCCCTGAGTCCCTGTCTCCTCCCTTCTACTCCAGGCTCTGTCCCGGCCCAGGGCATGTCATCCCCACATCCCTGTAGGAAGGACCTGCTCATGGTGCCCGAGTTCCCTGTGCCCATGGAGGCTCGGCCCCTGACGCTGGAGGAGATGGAGGATGTGGGCAGGCACTACCGTGAGCGCAAGCGGCAGCTCAAGGTGCTGGCCAGGACCACAGGAGGAGCTGCATCCCTGTCACAAGGACACCCGGGCCCACAAGGGTTTGGGATGTGGAAACGGATTAGGTTCAGAAAGTGCTGACGCCCCCACCATGTTCTTTAATTAGAACTTTTCTTTTTTTGGATTTTTTGAGACAGGGCCTCGCTATGCAGTTAGTTCATGCTGGCCTTGGACTCAATATGTAGCCCAGGCTGAACTCAAAATTATAGCAATCCTCCTTCCACAGCCTCCTCAGCACTGGGATGACAGACATGTGCCACCTTGCCCGGGTGCTATTCTTTAATTAGGACTTTTCATCTAGAGTCCAGAGTTGTGCCTTTGTCATAGCTGGAACCTGGAACCTGGCTCCAGAGTGCTCAGACTGCATGCAGCTGGGCTGGTTCAGTGGCACGCACAAGGCCCGGGGTTCGTCCCGCACTGCAGTGCACCACACAAAACAAAACAAAACGTCAGGCTTTGCAGGCCACCTGGTCTCTGTCGCAGGTGCTGGGCTCTGCTGTGAGGGACCCCACATACACACAGCTGGCAGCCCGTGATCCCATCCAACTTGACTTAGAATGCGTGCCAGGTGGGTTTGACCTATGGGGTGTACGTTGCTGATTCTGGTGTGAGAATTTTTTTTTTTTGGTACCAGGGATCAAACTCAAACCTTGTGCTTGTGAGGAAGGCGCTGTGGTGTGAGAACTTTTAAAATAGATTTTTTTTTTGTCCTTGTTTAAAGAAAAAAACATGCTCGTTGTGGTGGCCCATGCCTGTAATCCCAGCACTTGGGAGGCTGAGGCAGGAGGATTGCCATGAGTTGGAGGCCAGCCTGAACTACAAAACAAGACCCTATCTCAAAAAAACAAAACAAAATACAAAATAAAACAGAGTGGGTCATGAATCATGTATCTGTGATTCCAGCTACTTGAGAGGCTGAGGCAGGAGGATCTTGGTGACTTTGTCTGAAAATTAAAAACAGAAAAGCCTAGGGTGTAGCTCTGTGGGAGAGAGCCTGGGGTTCCATCCCCAACACCACAGCAAAGAAGCGGGGTAGAGGAGGCGGCAGAGGCCCAGGAAGAGACCTCACGAGCCCTGCGTGTATCCCCGCAGCTCCCCATCCCCTCTATCGAGTACACGGAGAGCTGCCGCCTGGTGCACAGTGGGGACGAGCGCGTGGACCAGCACTGCCTGCCATCCACGGTGGCTGGTGAGGGCCAGGAGCTTCTGGACACAGCCCGCATGGACGGCTTCCTGCTCTACTTGCGCTGTGGGCAGCAGTGTGCGGCCTCGGGCCTGCCAGTGACCAAGGAGGTCCTCACCCGAGGTAAGGAGGAGGCAGGAAGCAGGGCTGCAGGACCTGGCTCCCTGTAGGAGGAGCCAGGCTTGGACACCAGGACCCGGCTCTGTCTCTGAGAGGGAGAGCTGGTAGAACTAACTGCCACCAAAACCACTGCTCCAGCCTGGCACGAAGGTGCATGCCTACCTTCCTAGCACTCAGGAGGCTGAGGCAGGAGGATTGCCACAAGTTCTAGGCCAGCCTGGGCTACATAATGAGACCTGGTTTCAAAAAGCAAACAAAAAATTTAGATCTAATTAAGATCTGGGTGTTTATCTCAATGGTAGAGTGTGCACTTAGCACTCATGAGGCCCCGAGTTCCATCCCTGGCACCAAAACACAAGGTCTTATACCCTGATGAAGTCTTGGTTGGATTCTCCCACCTCTTTCAGGGACATCTAGCCACCTCTGTTCTGACTAAAGCCAGGCCTAGGCCTCCTCTGTCATGGCTGGTCCCCTTTCATTTTTTTTTTTTGGTACCGGGGATCGAACTCAGGACCTTGTGCTTTCGAGGCAGGTGGTGGCACCACTGAGCTAAACCCCCAGCCCTGGTCCCCTTGCATTTTCACTTATCAGCATCACTCACACTGGGGAGGGCTTCGAGAGAATTCTCTGCACTGTTCCTGCAACTTCTGGTGACTCTACAGTCATTTGAAAATAAAAAGTTAAAACAAGGGCCAGTGATGTAGCTCAGTGGCACTGCCCTGCCTGCCAAGCACAAGGCCCTACCAAAAAAAAAAAAGTTAAAACAAAAAATGGGAAACAACAATAACAACAACAAACAAATAAAAAATAAAGGTTGCTAGCTAGGTGTGGTGGCACATGCCTGTAATCCCAGCACTTGGGAGGGTGAGGCAGGAGGATTGCTATGAGTTCAGTGCCTGCCTTATTGCTTCTCAGCCTTTTGGCTAAGATTAAGTGTAGTTCAATGCTAGCCTGGGGTACATAGTGAGGCCCTGACTCAAGGATCCAAAAATAGGTAAATAAATAAATAATAAAAAACCATAAAATCAAAAAAATATTTTGAATGTTATCACAAAGAAATGATAAATATGTGACATGACAGAAATGTTAATTTCCTTGATTTGATCATTATGTAATGTATGTATTGAAAGATGGCTGGGTGTGGTGGTGCACGCCTGTGATCTCAGCACTCGGGAGGCTGAGGCAGGAGGATCACTATAAATTCCAGGCCAACCTGGGCTATATAGCAAGATCCTGTCTCAAAAAGGAAAAAGGAGAAAGGAAAGAGGAAAAAAAGACAGAAAAACCATACTGTATTCCATAAATCCATACAAATACCATGTGTCAATTGAAAGCAAAACTTAGGAAAAACTAAAAGGACATTACACAGCTATAAGAAGTGAAGAAAAAAGATTTTTTAACAAAAATGTGAATTTATTAATATAACAGCCCCAACAGCACCCAAAAGTCGAGGGCCGGGGTCTTGGGCTCACAAGCTCTGCGCTCTTGCCACCCACAGCACTGCTGTACCCGGGGGACAGGATAGTCTTCCAGGACACCCAAGTGCGCCCCATCCGGCAGCCCGGCGGCTTCTACTCTGACTCGAGGGCCCTGGCCCCGCATCTGGCCACACACAGGACCAAGGGACCGAGGCTGGGTCCCCAGAAGAGCAACAAGCTGAGTGTCCCCTGTCCCCGTGCCTTCCTGCCACTGCCTGCCCACCGTTGTCCCCTCTGCTCCGGCCGGGATGCTGGCTGCTTGGTGGCCTGTGGCTGGTTGCTGCTCTCACTGGTCACCTGGTCACCTGGGATGGCGGCCCCAGTGCCTCCCACCATGGTGCACGTCTTAGCTCGAGGCTGCTCACCTCAGCACCACACAGCTGCCCTCCTGGCCCCGGTCCGCAACCATGGCCCTGGGTGTTGGTGGGGACAGGCCTTCCCGGCCCTGCTGCCCTAGCAAGGTGCACAGCCAGGCCTGTCTCTGTCCCTGTCCCTGACACTAGCCTCAGTCCCCTCTGAGAAAGTGGCTGCCTGGTGCATCCAAATCCTGGGCCCCAAGCTTTGGGTCAAACCCCAGGTGACGATGTGGGCAGCAAGGTGGTGGCAGCTGGTAGAAGAGCAAGATGGTGTCTAGACAGAGGGACCAGGGTGGGGCCGAGTGACGTAGGCAGGTGTTAGGCAGGTGGACCAGCCCCTCTGCTCCCCGGGCCTCAGATACCCTGTGGTAAACAGCACTGGTAGAGTCTGAGGAGGTTCGCTGATGCCTGTCATAGAAGACCCTTGTAGGATGAGGGACGAGTCAGAGAGAGGCCCAGGCAGTTAGAAAATAAAGGGGAGGAGCTGGGCATTATACCAGCACTCGAGAGGCTGAGACAGGAGGATCACCGTGAGTTCCAGGCTAGCCTGTGCTACATAGTGAGACCCTGTCTCAAAAAAGCAAAAAAGAGGCTTGGCTTGGTGGTGCATGCCTGTAATCCTAACAGTTGGGAAGCTGAGACAGGAGGATCACCATGAGTTCAAGGCCAGTGTGGGCAACATAGAGAGATCAAGGCCAGCCTGGGCTACAAAGTGAGACCGTATCTCAAAAAACAAAAACAAGAAAAGAAAAAACTAAGGTTATTAATAAGGAAATCAGACATAAAATGCAGCCAGAGACACCAAGCTCCATCCTGCCAGGTCCCTGTGACACTGGACACTATGGGGACTGAATGGAGGATGCGCATCACGCTGGCTGGGTCCCCATGCTTCCCCAGGCCGGCAGGAAGCACTAATCAGGAAGAGCTGAGAGGGTCCAGACAGTGGTGGCTCGAGGGCCTCTGTCCTTTGGTGACCATCTCCCTGCCATGGTGCCTGGCGTGGGTTCTTGGGTATGAGTATGACGGAGGGCGGGCCCGGGACAGGACTGTGTCCTGCTGAGGAGGACGGAGAGGCCGAGGCCCAGGGCGGACAGTGTGCTCTCGCTGCCTTGCCAAGGCCGAGGGGCAGGGCTGCAACTGGGCCAGCACCTGCCTAGCACCTTTGAGCCACAGAGGAAAGCAAAGCCGAGCCTGTGAAGCCCGATGTGGGCCCAGGCACAGGGCAGGCAGGGCCCTCGGACTCTGCAGCTGCCACTTGCTGCTCAGCTCTCTCCAGGCCCCACCTGGGAGAAGAAACTGCTTCCAGGGCCCCACACCCCAGCCCGCTTCCTTCCCACTCCTAACAGCGCCCCTCTCTCTTTCCCATCAGGAAGACACCCAAGGATGGCAGGAAGATGCCCTTTAAAGAAGCTCAGGAGGGTACCAGGTCTGCAGCAGTATCAGGATAGGGAGGACTGGGGGTGGGAGGGTTCAGGCCCAGCACGGGAGAAAGGGAGGCGGAGGGAGAGGGAGAAGCGGAGGGCAGACCTCAGTGCAAGGATGACTCTGGTGAATCCCGTGGGACCCACTGGCCTCCTCATGGGGCAGCTGCAGCTCCAGGGTAAGCGAGGCCTGCACAGAGATACCCCAGGGTGCGCTCCCGAACCTGAGGTTCAGAGACAGCTGTTGGGTTGGGCCTGCGCCCTGTGTTCCTTCACTATGTGACCTCAGTGAGATGACAGCCCCCGAGACCCTGGGTCCTGGCCAGGGTGGTGGACCTGAGGCCCTGCGGGGCATCCTATGCTCTCTGCCCACAGGTCACAGGTGCCCCACTGTCCCCCAAGGAGCCCGGCCCGGCCTATCCAGGTGACAATCTCTTGCATCTTCCTTTTCCAGGAAGCTGAAGGCAAGGAGACTCAGGGGGCCCCAGCGCACCCACCCCAATGTCTTCTGGCCAGGCCACCTACTGGACAAGATGCGGCTGTGCCTGCCCACAGAGGCCACTGACCGGAGCCTGGCACTGTTCAGCTGCATCCAGCACAAGCGCCACGCCTACCAAGCCATCTACCACCCTGACCGCTGGTGGCCCCTGAGGGAGGAGAACTACATGAGCCGCACCTATTACAATTCCCCCAAGGTGTATGCCATCAACTAGAGTGGCTGGTGTCACCATGACACGGCGGGGTCTGGCCATGCTAAAGACACTGCGTCCCTGTCCCGGAGGAATGTCACTGTGGCTCGTCCAGCCTTGGGCTTGCCAAATAAACCAGCAAGAGCTTCTCTCACACGACCTGGGTCTCAGCCTATGCGACTTGGAGCTCCCACCTTGGAGGACACAGCAGGCACTTTCCCTCAGACACCAACAGGGAGTCACCTTGGGTGGCATCTCCGTGAGATGAGGTGGCAGCTTGTCTCTCACCCCAAGGCTGAACCTCTGGGTTCCTGCTCCCATCTCTTGGGGTTTCAGAGGCTGGGGATGCCCTTGGTTCATGAGCCTCCCTGGCCAGTCCAGCCGTCTCCCTCCTGGGCACAGCATGTGGGCTGCCATTAGCAGGGATTCCAGCCCTACATCCTGTGGGCCACACACAGCCCCAGGACCAGCACACCAGGTGTGGGGTAGAAACAGGCACAACCAGGTCTGAGCTGGGTGTGGTGGGTTAGGCCTGGAATCCCAGCATTTGGAAGGCTGAGGCAGGGTTGTGTGAGTTTGAGACCAGCCTGGGCTACATAGTGAGACACTGTCTTAATTTAAAAAAAAGAAAAAAAAAGGCCAAAACATCCACCACCAACAAAAGACTCATTAGTGGTACCTGTATTATATTTGAGTTGAGGAATCAAGGTTTTGTTTTGTTTTGTTTCCTCGTGGAATTTGATTTTCAAAATGATTTTTTTTTTGAGACACAGTCTCACTATGTAGTTCAAGCTGGCTTTGAACTCACTATGTAGACCAGGCTGACCTCTAACTCACGGCGATCCTCTTGCCTCAGCCTCCCCAGTGCTGGGATGACAGGCATGTGCCACCATGCCCAGCTTCAAAATAATTTTAAAAACAAAAACTAAGCCAAACAATTCAAGAACAACAATTTTAAAATTAACTCTTTTTTTTTTGGTACCGGGGATCGAACTCGGGTCCTTGTGCTTGCGCAGTAGGCGGTGAAACCACTGAGCTAAATCCCCGGCCAACAATTTTAAAATTAGATAGTTTAGCTGGATGGTTAGAAATGTGGACTTTGGAGTCAGGTTTGTTTTGTTTTTTGTTTGTTTGTTTTTTTTGAGTCAAATCTTCAAACTTAACTTTCCACATATGTCAAATGAAGAAAATAAATAAAGTTTAGTGGTGCACACCTGTAATTCCAGCATTCTGGGAAGGTGAGGCAGGAGGACTACAAGTTCCAGCTCAGCCTAGGCAACTTAGTGACTTAGCAAGACCCTGTCTCAAAAAAAAAAAAAAAAGTGGGGGAATGTAGCTCAACTCAAAGGCCCTGGGTTTAATCCTCAGTACTCCACAAAAAAAAGAAAAAGGACAAGTGGGGGACTACCTTACAGAACTGTGGTATGGGTGTAAATTCCCGTGGAATATCCGCTGTTCTTGTCTTACCGCTATTTAGACAGTGAGCCCTTCGTGTCTCCACGTTCCACATCTGCATCCACAGGTTCAACGAACTGCGGATAGAAAACATTAGGAAAAAATTGCATCTGTTCTTGAACATCTGCGACTTTTGTCATGATTCCCTGAATCACACAGTACCGCAGGGATTTCCTCAGCATTTACACTGAGTTAGGTACAGTATTAGAAGTAACCTAGAGATGATTTACAGTGTGTGGGAGGATGGGTGTAGGTTCTATGCAATGCCGCACCACTTTATGTAAGGGACGAGAGCATCTGGGGAGTTTCGGACTGCGAATTCCCGAGGAGTTACATTAGGAAATCTGTTTTGCTCCCTCCTGGCCTTCAGGGGGCGCACTTGGAGGCGAAGAAACACGGGCGGAAATAGTCTAAAAACGGGATTTGGCTTCCACTTTGGGCGGAAATAGATGCTGCTCACCAGGTCTTAGCTCAAAAAAAAATTCCCGATTTCCTGTGTAATCCCAAGGAAAGGTTGGGTACATCTTCACTTCTATTCCTATATATTAGTGTCTAATGAAACACAGGCACACTGGGCACTTTTTGCAGCATTATTCTCTAACACGACTCTATTTCTTCGAAGGACACAGAGCCAGAAGTGCTCTTTTCCCTGCCAGGACCTGTAGGTTAGTCCCATCAGCCCTTGCGCGCCACCGTACCCTCTCTTCCTCGGCGTTGCCTACGGAGGTGTCAGCTGTCTCCGACTCGGTGAGTCTCAATCGCGGGCCATCCGCGCTTCTGCTGGTTCCCTGTGGCCCCCTCGGACCCCCGTGATGAGGCCTCTGCTCTGTGCACTCGGCTCAGTGGGTAGCGGTAGCGGCGGCGGCGGCCGCCTTCTGGAATTTTAGGGCACAGCAGCGTCGGGCCTTGATGGGGCTTTGCGTCGGGGATTCTTCCCGCGTACAGAGCCCACGTAGGTCAGCACAGCAGAGGATGGCGCGTTGGATCCCTTTCGACCCGTGGTGCTGGTTGAGACCAGATGGCTAGGCCTCGAGAGGTCCGGGAAACAATCGGAGGTACCTGGCTTGAGGCCGCGGATGAGGCCCGCGGATTGCCGGCTCGCCTGCATTCTCCGCGTAAGATTGTCATGCGAACTTGGCATTTCGTAAACAGGAAGCCACATGCGCTCCATGCCTCCCTAACCCTGTCCCTGCGTGCTGCGACCGGGCGGACACGACAGGTGCGAGGGGCCTTGTTCAGTGTCGGCAGAAACCCTTGCAGTGGGTTGGGTCTGTCGGGGAACCCGGTGCCGGCCCAGGCCGTCCGCTACGGAACCACTCCGTCGTGTGGCAGTGCAGGGAGGCTCGGGGCGGCGGAAAGGGAGGCCGTCCATGACGGTCTCACGGTGGAACCATGTTCATGGCGAGGCGTTTGGGTATTTGTGCGCGTGTCCAGGGCACTGCCCTGCGCCCCGCTGCAGAGAGGGATCCAGGCTTCCTCATTGTACACTGACTTTGTGTCTAGCGTTGCATTTGTGTCCATTTCACTGGTGAGAACATTGAGACTTGGTACCAAAAGGAGTGAGATTGGGATGCTTAACTGGGGTGGAATTTACTCCCTCATGTGAGCTAGAAGGTCTTGGGGATAGTTTTGTTTTATGTTAGGTATTGGGGTTCCCCCCCATCCCTTTTTGAGACAGGGTCTGGCTGTGTAGTCCAGGCAGGCTGTGAACTCAGCGATCCTCTTGCCTCAGGCTCCCAGGTTTGGGATTACAGTCGTGCGTGGACCACCATGGCCAACCACTGTTGGTTTTCTTTCTGGGGCTCTGGGTGAAGGGACCCATGACCTCCTGGGATCGCGTCTGGAGAGTGTCCTGTATTCTGCCAGCTTCGGAAACGGGAGGGAGAGCAAGCCGGCAGGGCACCCATTCCATTCCCAGCTTGCCCAGTAGCTGGTGACTGGAAGACACTCTGCAACAGCCCTTGGCCCTGGGCAGGAATCCTTCCTTCCCACCCACATCCTCTTTTAACCAGGATCTGTCTTTTTAAAGGCGCCATGGCAGCCCTCAGACCCCTCGTGAAGCCCAAGATTGTCAAAAAGAGGACCAAGAAGTTCATCCGGCACCAATCAGACCGATATGTCAAAATTAAGGTATTGGGTGCTGGGTTTCTGGCACCGCCGTAGAGAATTTGGCATGTGGGTGGCAGGAGAGCTCTATGGGAGCTTGGGCTCCCTGAGTGCCCTACTGGGGGCACTGCTGTCTGAAGGGCTTTGTGTTTCTGTCATCTCACTGCATGCACAGCCCTTCACCTCCACCAGATCTCTTCTGTTTTCTAGTGGTTTTTACCCGCCAGTCTTATTCTGCCTACACAGTAGGAAGTCTTATTATCCACTGACAGCTACTTTTGTGCCTGTCTCCTTCGATCCTTTTCTCCCTAAAGAACAAGCTGGCCGCTTGCACAGAGACTAACCTACCACTTGTTACATCTTGCAGCGCAACTGGCGTAAACCCAGAGGCATCGACAATAGGGTGCGGAGAAGGTTCAAGGGCCAGATCTTAATGCCCAACATAGGTTATGGAAGCAACAAAAAGACAAAGCACATGCTGCCCAGTGGCTTCCGAAAGTTTCTGGTACACAACGTCAAGGAACTGGAGGTGCTGCTGATGTGCAACAAGTGAGTTGGCCTTGTCCATGATCACTGGGTTGGGGTGCTTATTCCCAGGCCCTTGGGGAAGGGCTCTGTGGGGCCTAGAGGATGGGTAGGGAGTTTAGGGTGTCTGCTTTGCAAGAGAGGGGCATTCCTGCAACGCTGTTTTACTTGTTTTGGGCACAAGCCTCAGACCTAAGGGACACTTGCCGCTGAAACAAGGAGCTGCCAGTTTCTGGGTGGGGCTTTAGAGCACCTGGAGGGGAAGTGGGGAGGTAGACCCAGGCCACAGATTAGAGATGTGGGGGCGCTAGGTGCCTTGAACAAGGCTGGTGCTGGTGAGCTCAGTATGGGACTTGGGTCCAAACCAGGATGGGGAATGAGCCGTCTGTCCTGGGAGCGGTCTTGACACCTGGAGTCTGGGTGCCAGGGAATGGTGCTGAGGTTAGCAGAAGGCAATTGATTTTCTTTCCTTCCTGGAACGTGGAAGCTGTGGAGCTGCGCTGAGTGAGCTAGGGCTTGGAGAGTGGCAACCTTGCTTGCGTGTGCCCCTGTGGGTTCTGAGGGAGGCAGTGTTCTGCTTGGGTTGTATCTCAGGCATTGAGTGCCCAGCGTGGTTTTTTTGGAAGATGAGTGCAGGAATTGGTGGTGGCAGGTTGAAGGCTGGATTGTGAGACCTTAGTACCTGTTGCGTGACAGAAAGGATGGTTCTTTGTATGTGTTTTTATATCTACATGTATTAGCTTGGTGGTGTTTACCAAGATCCGTGAAAATACTTTTATGACCTTTTATCCATGGGTTGCATTTCTGAGCATTTATCCTGAAATAACCAAAAAGCAGGGAAACCTTATTTTTTCTGGTAATAGAGCTTGAAGGCCCCTTAATTTTGAGACAGCTTTTCACTTAAGTTGCCCAGACTGAGCTGGAACTTGTGGTCCTCCTGCCTCAGCCTCCTAGAGTGCTGGGATTATAGGCGCATGCCACCATGCCCAGCAAGAAACTTTATAAAGCTGGTTGTGGCAGCAATAACCAATTGGAAAACAGCTTAAAAGCATAATTTGTGAGTGATAGAGTACTGGAGTGGACTGGTACACATCCATGGAAAATGCCTTATGAGTTTATTTTTACTTTTTGGAAAAGGTCTTGCTATGTAGTTCAGGATGGGTTTGAAATCACTGTAGCCCAGGCTGGCCTTGAACTTATGGTGATCCAAGCTGCTGGGATTACAGGCATATGCCACCATGCCTGGTACCCTACACATATAAAATGTTAGGCATGCTGGTGATTAAGTAGTCTGGTGGACAAGGACATGGATATTTTAGGGGAATGAAATGTGTAATGTGGCATGTCTTGCAAAAAAGGCTGAGTGGTGGCACACATCTGTAATCCCAGCCACTTGGGAGGCTGAGGCAGGAGCATCACAAGTTCAGTGCCAACCTGGACAGTGCAGTAAAATTCTGACTCAAAAAATTTAAAAGGGCTGGGGATTTAGTTCACTGCTTCCTGGTTCAGTTTGTAGTGCTGCAAAAGAAAAAAGGAAAACATGGAGACATTTTAAGGCATCGCTACTGTAAACTCTAGTCGGATTTCAGTATAAAACAAACCCTTGTACATCTGTTCATGTCACGCTGTGACGGTCATAGTCCTAGAGCCCTTGCAGAGCTTCCTGCTGCTGCCTCTTCTGCCCTCGTGGGCCTGTTCTGTCACGGCTGGGGTGCTTGGCAGTGGAGTCCCTGTGTCTGCCCTGCTGTCACCTCTGAAGTCATGTCTTCACGGGGCACTGCACATGGCTCGGAGTCACCTGTTTGTGAGGGGAGTGGGCTTTTGGCTGATGGCTCCAGAGTGTCTTCCACTCCACCTGAGTTGTGTCTACCCCAGTCAGGGAGAGGCTCTGGCCCAGTGTGGCCCTCAGTCACTGCAGGGTCTCAAGCCTGCTGGGCAAGTCCTCGCCCCTAGGACCCTTGAGCCTTCATTGGGCTGGCTCCCAGGAGGGCGGAGAGAGACCTGGGCCTGGAGTGTGGCTGCCTTGTCCTGGCCCCATCCACCCCTCGCTGTATGACTCCTTGCTGTGCTTGCCTGTAAAATGGGGCTCCCTGGCCTGCAGCTGCCGCGGGGTCGAAAGGGAGAGCTCTGGGCAAGGCCTTGACACAAGTCCTCAATGTGGGAATCCTCTGCTTGGGGCTGGGGTCAGAGTAACTAAAGCTGTGGCCTCCCCTGACTGTGTCCAACACCAGCTGTCTTCACTACTTGCTGCTTCTCTTCCAGGTCTTACTGTGCAGAGATCGCTCACAATGTCTCCTCCAAGAACCGAAAGGCCATCGTGGAAAGAGCAGCCCAGCTGGCCATCCGAGTTACCAATCCCAACGCCAGGCTGCGCAGTGAAGAAAATGAGTAGATGGCTCACTTGCATGTTTATTTGTGCTTAAATAAAACTGTAAGAACTGCCATCTGGTGTGCTCTTTCTTTCCTGGCTTAAACTTTCGGTTTCTTGGACAGTTTGTCAAAGGAGTGTTACCTGGTGCCCCTATGGTGTCCTCCATGTGAAGGGGTTTGCAAGGGACAGGGAGGGGGTCCTTGCACATGGCCTTGGATGCCCCACCAGTGCAGGGCGAGGAAGAGGGGACAGAGGGCAAGTGGTCACATTTAGCCTCCCTGCTACTGACTGCCAGTGACCCTGTTGTGTTCCTGGGAGGACTGGAAGTGTGTGGATTTGTCTAATTCCTCCCTTGACGTTTCTATAGGGTGCTGAAGACAGTCCCCTTAACGCCTGTGCAGAAATGAAATATATGAGACGTAAAAAAAAAAGGGTACTGCCAGGCCTGATGGTGAACACCTGTAATCCCAGCAATTTGGAGGATGAGACAGGGAGATTGCTGCAAATTAGAGGCCAGCCTGGGCCACATAGTGAGTTCAAGGCCATCCTGAACTACACAGCAAGACCGTCTCAACCAAAAGACACAAGACTGGGGGTTGGGCCTGATCAGCGACAGGATGGCACTGTCTGTAATTAACCTTAACCATTTGTACAAGAGGTACTGTTCTATACAGGCTCGTGGAGTGTGGTGTGTGGAACCAGGCTGGGAAATGCTTTCATATTTCCTGACCTGGTCAGCCTAGTGGGAGGTGCTGCTCACGGCCCTGTTAGTGCCCTGGGTCGGGGTGAGCGCCTGTCGCAAGACATCTGTGGAGTGAGTCTGTCATTTCCAGGATAAATAGTGGTCTAGGTCTTAGAGACAGAAATTGTGTAGAGAACACGGTATAATTTAGGATATTCTTTATTCACTTTGGATGTCACAGGAAATATTTTGGCCTGTCATATCTGTCTTCAATACTAAAAACTAGAAATTGCACATTTGAAACCACAATTTGCTACATAACTTCACATTATGAAGTTTCAAGATGAAACACTCAGTTCAGGCCTGTCCATTCCCTACCCTGTCTCCCTCCTGCAGGAAAAGCCCTTGATGCCTTTGAGTTGCTGAACCATTGCTGTCAATTACAAACAACACTGGAATTCTAGTCTGAGTGAACTCAGAAGCATTGAGTTGTGGGTTTTTCTTAGTGTTAGTGCTGGGGTGGGACAGTCCCTTGCGACTGCAGACGGTCCCTTTCGAGCAGCCTGTTTCTGGGTGCTGTACAGAGGCAGGGGCTGTACCGTTGGCACCAGAGTGACTGGAGGGGTGGCCAAGTGACTGGAACTCAGTGACAGTCCTGAGTTAAAGGGTGCAGATGGAGGGTGGGCCTGGGTCCCCAGCCGGATGGAGGGTGGGGCTGGGGCTCAGTGGCCAGGCGCTGGGCAGACTAACTGAGCTCCATGGGCTCAGTGCCTAGCATCGAAGCAGGGTCCTTCTGGATGCTCTCGAAGAGGGCTGAGAGCTCAGGGTTGGAGCGGATCTGGGCTTCGAAATCGGCCATGATGGGGCTTCTCCCTGCCTCGGGGATGGTAAGCAAGGCGGCCACCACCCGCATGGCCGAGCGCTTCAGCTCATCCTGCTTCTCGAACTCCTGCTTCACGGAGCCAGCTTTGACCTGGGGTGGGAGACAGTGGAAGGAGCCTGGGGTACCACCAGCCTGGGACTTCCTGTCCACCTGGGGCCCTCTGCACCCTAAACTGGTCCCAGAAGTCCCCTATGCTTCGGCCCCTTCGGGCTCTTCCTGCTGGTGATATTCAGATCAGCGTTGGTGTTCCCCACCTCTGCTGCCACTGTGGTTTCTATCAACCTGACAGTGCCAGGGACAGGGTGTAGCCTGCATGACAACACCCCAACCCTGCCCTTGGGCTCCCCACGCACGTCCCTGCTGCCAAACCAGGCGACAACCTCCCCCAAAGGCCCAGTGCAGCTTCCCAGCCCCTCCCACAGGTCTATCCTTCTGGCAAGTGCCAGGTACTTTCCCACGCTGTGGAATAAAGCGCAAGATCCTTACAGGGCTCATTCCCCTCATCCCATGAAGTGGGTAATAGCTGGGCGCCGGGCCAGATGGTCCTGGGTGCAGATGGCTGCGCCCGAGAGCTGGGTCCCTCTGCAGAGCTGCTGTGAGGACTGAGTGACTGCACACAGGTCCACACCCCTTCCTCGAGCCCCTGGGCCCACATGTGCTTTGGAATCCAGGATTTGGGGGACCTTAGAAAGGGAACACCGTGCAGGTAACATTTCCAGTGGGGTCTGACGTAGTACCCAAAAATGGACATTAATAGTTCCCCCATGAACTATATAAACCTGCTTTTCTTTTCTTTTCATCTTTTTTTTTTTTCCTCCAGCGAGGGTCTCACTATGTATTCCAGACTGGTTTTAAACCTGTGGTGATCCTCCTGCCTCAGCATCCAGGGTGCTGGGATTACAGGCATGTGCCACTACTTTTGGCCTATATGACTTACAATAAGATGAAATTAAAGTCATAAACAGTCTCACTTGAGCCTCATTGCTAAGGAAGTCACTCAGAAGTTTCTGGTTTTCCAAGCTTTGTGATTTCAGAGCTGGGGACATGGGATGGGGCTGTTGCCACAGTGCTGGCAAGCAGCACCCAGTGGCCAGGCTGAGGGCCTCTGTGTGGACCCAAGGATGCAGCTTCCCTCGCCGTTGCGGCCAGTGTGCCTCCTGGCACGGGAGGCCCTGCAGCTCCTCTCCTGGGACCCGAGACTCCTCACTGTTGCCCAGCTCCAGAGAGCAGAAAGGACTGGCACTGAGACTGGCAAAATACATAGGGTTATTTTTAAAAGAAAAGGTGTTACTTGAAAATCACTGTCCTGGGTACCCTTTCTCTTCACACTCCAATCTAAAATATTCAGTCCTAAGGGCCGGGGATTTAGCTCAGTGGTTATGCCACCTGTCTTGAAAGCGCAAGGACCCAAGTTCGATCCCTGGTACCAAATAAATAAGAAATAATAAATAAAATAAAATACCCAGTCCTGCTGGGCAGGTGGCACATCCCTGTGACCCCAGCACTTGGGAGGCTGAAGCAGGAGGGGGTAAATTTGAGTCCCATCTGAGCAACCTAGTGAGGGTCTGTCTCAAAATTTTAGAAAGGGGTGGAGGTTTAACTCAGGGGGAAGCCCTGAGTTCAAGTCCCAGCACCACAAAACCAAAAACAAGACAACTCAGCCTCTTTTTGGAGAATTCCTACCCTTTCAAAACCCAGGCTGGATCCTTCACCTACCAGATCTGTGCTGAGTGCCCTGGGTATGCCAGGCTGCCCATGGGCCCCCACCCAAGTTGCTCCTTGGGACCCTAGAGACCTCGAGACCAGAGCAGTGCTGCCGGGGGTCAGTCAATTGGCCCCAAGAGCCTGAGCTGGGGCCGGCTGGGATGTGAGCCAGTGGGGCAGGGACCACAGTGTCCCACGTCTTCTCCTTCAGGCCTCACCCACAGGTGCTCAACACTGCTCTGCCTCGAGATGGTGCAGCCCTGGCCAGCAGTGTCACTGTGGAGCCCCTGTCCCCAGGGTTGATGGCACAAGGACAAGGAGCCTCTCACCGGCCACCACAGTGCACAGCATCCTCAGTGGTGGTAACTGGCACAGGACCCCAGGCCCCAGAGCAGACCTGGGCCTTACCTTGGCGGTGCAGGTGGCCCGCAGTGGCTCAATGAGCCGGTCCACCCTCTGTAGCACGGGCGCCGGGCATAGTGTTGCCAGTCGTGCCAGCATGATGAAGGTCAGCATCTGCCAGGAGGGAGGAGATGATGTCAAAGAGTGGCCAGAGCTCAGGAGAGGCCTGGGGGCCAGAGGCTTCAGCCCCAACCCCGCCCTGATCTGCCCCCCAGGGCCCTCCTGGCCTTTGTTTCCCCACCTGGGACACGTGTGTGGGGACACTGAGCTGTGCCCACTGCCCTTGGCTGCCCTCAGGGATTGGGTAAGAAGAGGCACAGGGAAGGGCAGTTCTCAAATTCAGATGCCCCTGGGGACAGGCGGGTCCTGCCATGGAGCCACAAGGTGGGAGCTACAGCTGGCTGGGTGTCACTGTGTCCCCAAAGGGCCTGGAAGCCTGGTCCCAGTGTGGCAGTGTTTAGAGGTGCTAGGGCACTGTCTTGCGATGGGGCTGATATGGGCTCCACAAGAACAGCTGTTCAAGGGCCGGGACCCCATGTGCCTAGGCCTCCTGGGTCCCTGGGAGCAGCTTCCCTGGGTCTCCCACAGCCCAGCAGGGGTACAGGATGCTCTCAGCTCTCAGCGTCCAGAGAGTGAGCTAAGCACAGCTTGGCCACTTGGAGAATCCTGCGCAGATGTGTCGCCATAGAAACAGGATGCTCACCGGCACAGTGAGAAGAGGCGCAAGGTATCATGGACAGTTTGCAAAAGACACCCCCATTTTCATGTCAAATGGCTCAAATTTTAAATGTTACAAAACAAAGAAGTTGCGAGCCACTCAGACACCGCAACAGCCTTGGACTGAGATGGTGCCAAAGGCCATGCTAGGATCACTGAGTGAAACACAGTGCTCCCTGGCTGATGCCTGCCAGTGCCACTGTCCCTTGGTCCCTGTGCACTGTCACGCTGCCTCCTCAGCCCAGCCTGTAGTCCGGGAGCTGAAGAGAAGCAGAGGGTCCAGAGGGCCGTGAGGAGAAGCTGCCTACTCACAGAAGGTGCAGGCACAAACAAGCTGAGGTCCACTGAACACAATGGGTGAGTGAAGCACTCCATCCAACAAGGGACTCACTCGGCCTCCAAAAGGAACGGACATGTGACACTCGCTACAAGGATGGGCCTGTGCTAAAGGAGACCCAGTCAACAAAGACAGGCAGTATGTGACACCACTGCCATAAGAAGCTCAGGACTGTGACTCCCACACAGATACTGGGGGACGGTCAGTGAGGACACAGCTCAGCAAAGCATGTGTGCAGGACACTGAACCAGATGGTTAATGCTGCTAAATGGGGCTGGTGCCTGCCTCATGGTGGACTGCTTTGCATGCTCCACATGGTCCATCCCCAGGTCAAGAAAAGATTAAGATGGTAACATTTGCAATATATAAATTGTTTGTTTGTTTTCTGAGGCAGGGTCTTGCTATATAGTCCAGGCTGGCCTCAAACTCACAGTGACTTTCCTGCCTCAGCCTCCTGAGTGCTGGGATTGCAGGCATGCAACACCATGCCCAGCACCATCATGTATATTTATCATACTTTAAAAAGCAGGGATTCCTATTATATGGGTGGATAAAGTGTAAAATATAAAAGAAATGAAGAAACCTCAGTCTGCCCGCTGCTCCCCTCTCCCCACCTCACCCCACAGGTGGGTGAGAAAATGGCCCCAACTTCCAGAGCCAGCTTTCGTTGTCTTGAGGGTGGAGACCCAGCCACCACCGCCACCAGGACTGCAACACTTGGGTGTCAGCTCCTCCGAGCAGTGCTGTGCTCAACCCAGGCTCTGCCTGCACCAAGGGATAGGACAGGGCCGGCCAGGCCAGGGAGGCTCAGGGTCCTACCCGGACGTCATAGTGGTCCTTCAGCCCATCCTCCACATGGCTCAGGAACTGGCTCACGTCCAGCTGGCCCAGACAGCTTTCAAGCAGGGAGTACATGCACTCGAAGGCCGCCTTGCGCATGTCGAGCCCGTCATCCACCGTATGTTTAAAGGGCCCCATCTCCACCTGTGGGGGTACCACAGCACTGGGGATGCTGCCAGGGTTAGGGACACCTCTTTCAACAGGTGACTGTTGAAAGTCACCCAAGTCACCCAAGCACACTTAGGTCTCCAGGCCTTTCCCCGCCAAGGATTGCAGCAGTAACAGTAACAACAGAACCGTGTTTAGGACTTGACAAGTGACAGTCTTCTGGGGAGGGTGCTGAGGGTGGAACCCAGGGCCTTGTGTGTGCTAAGCACATGCTCTACCCCTGAGCTGTAGCCGCCCAACACATGGTGTTTTACGCAAGCATCACAAATGCCTTAGGAGGAAAGGGCTATGATGACCCCCATTCAACTTCAGAGGAGACTACAGCTCAGAGAGGTGTAGGACCTGCCCCAAGTGCCCACAAGTGCCCACACCTCTCGGATGAGGTCCCGGCGGACTTTGGTCTCCTGGTAGAGGAGTGGCAGGATGGTGTCCAGCAAATCCCGAACCAGTGAGGGCTTGTTGTGTACAGCCGAGTTGAAGAAGGCCAGTGTGGCTCGGCGCACACTCAGATCTGGGTCCCGCAGGCTCTCCATGAAGTTCCCTGCAGGACAGAGAGGCTGAGGGGCACAGCCAGACACCAGGTCACCCTGCTGTGCCGGGCACCCATCCCTCCCACAGCTGCTTTGTGCCAGGTGCAGCCCTCAGAGTCCAGGATGCCCGGCTTCTGATCACATCTCTCCACATGGCTGTGGGCTGTGCAGAGCCTCAGTGTCCTTATTCATAAAATGGGGAGAATCACAGCACCTACATGGTAAGATGATGTTTAAGATGCAATCTGAAATTCATTTGGAATCAGAAAAGGTCTAGAATAGCAAAAGTGACTCTGGGCAACAAAAGCAAGGCAGGAGGCATCAAAATCCCTGACTTGGAATTGTACTACAAACCTACTGTAATAAAAACAGCATGGTCCTGGCAAAAAAACAGACCTGAGGATCAATGGAACAGGCTTGAAGATGCTGAAACAATTCCAGACATACTCAGCCACCTTATCTTTGACAAAGGAGCCAAACACTTTCACTGGAACAAAGATAGCCTCTTTAAAAAATGGTGATGGAAAAACTGGCATTCCACATGCCAAAGACTAAAGCTAGACCCATATCTCTCACCATACACTAAACTAAAATCAAGTGGATCAAAGATCTAAATATTAAAACAGAAACACTAAATGTGCTGGAAGATAGAATAGGTAGAACTCTTGAAGACACTGGTGTAGGCAGGCTTTATGAACAAAACCCCGATAGCACAGGAAATATCACAAAGAATCAACAACTGGATCTCATCTTATTAAAAAGCTTTTGCACAGCAAAAGAAACTACCAACAGAGTGAAGAGACAACCTACAGTGTGGGAAAAATTTTTTTGCCAGCTGTTCCTCAGACAAGACTACTATCTAGAATATATAAAGAACTCAAAAATATCAGACCTCCCAAATTTAAAGACCCAAGCCAAAAATGGGCATCTGAAACGAACAGACATTTCTCAGATAAAGAAATAGAAACAGCAAATAAATGTATGAAAAAATGTTCAACATCACTAGTCATTCGAGAGATGAAAATTAAAATAATGCTGAGATTCCATCTCACTCCAGAAAAAATGGCTGGTGGGGCTGTGGGGAAAAAGGAACCCTTCTCTACTGTTGGGGGGAGCGTAGACTGATGCAACCACTGTGGAGATTTCTCAAAGAACTAAAACTAGAGGTTCCATTCGACCCAGCTAATCTCCTTCTTTGTATCTTCTTGAAAGAATTAAAAGCATCATACCACAGTGATATATGCACACCCATGTTTATAGCAGCACAGTTTGTAATAGCTAAATCTTGGAAATATCCCAAATACTCATCAACTGACAAATGGTTAAAAAAAAAAAAAGTGGGTTTAAAAAAAAATACAATGGAGTACTACTGTGTCATAAAGAAGGATGAGCTTGAGAGATTTCTAGCTAAATAGATGGACATTGAGACTATACTCTTAAGTGAAATAAATCAGGCACACATGTTTAAATATCACATTATTTCTCTGGTGTCAGAAACTGAAAGTGGAGATAAGGACCAAGATATATAACAGATATTGGAGATGGGAGGAAAATGTTCAAATAAAAAGGCAGGGAGGAAAGAAGGGACAAGGGAAGAGAGAGAGAATAGGATTCAGGATGTGGTGTTGTCTACAAAGCACAGAGCAGAGTGCCTGGCTAAGAGGAAGGACAGCAACAGTTAGCCATGTGTGGTGGCACACACCTGTCATCCCAGCACTCTGGGAGGCTGAGGGAGGAGGATTGCCATGAGATTGAGGAAAGCTTGGGCTACAAAGTGAGATCCTGTCTCAAAAAACAAAACAGAACTAAAGAACAAATACAACAACAACTTTAAAGCAAACCCAGAACACCTGCTGGGGACTCTAGTGAAGCTGGCGCTGGCCAAGCTGCCAAGGCTGCAGGATGTCCCCTCCAGTACAAGGTGGGTCACCTCTGCCAGCTCAACCTCCAAACTCAGACAGCCCCCAGCAGGCGGAACAGCTTCCAGCTTTTACAGCTGAGGGGAAGATGTCCATCCACACTCATGCAGCTAGGGAATGGCAGAACCAGGATTCAAACCTTGGCCAGGGAGCATCACAGCCTGGCACCCCTGCTGGGGCTGCCTGTGAAGCCACAGAGGCCTATGTTCTTGGGCAGCCCTGTGACAGCCTGCAGGCTCCAGGCTCCAGGGGGAAAGCAGGGCTCTCAGGAGCCCCGGTTTGGTGCATTTTCTGCTTCCGAGGGCCTGTTATTCATGGAGCACTTTCCCCCGGAAAGCCCGAGGGGTCTCTACAGTGACCCTCCCAGGAGTTTCTTGTGCCCATTGGATGGATGAGGAGATCGCGGCTCAGTAATGAGAAGGGCACGCTGGGCCCACCCAGCACTTCACGGCCGGCTCGATGCTCACCCCATGCCATCAGCTGCCATGTGAAAGACCCTGGTGCAGATCAAAGTCTGGGGACAGGAAAGGAGGGTGGAGTGGGGGGACTCACCAATGAAAGTCTTCAGGAGGGGGTCGATGGGGTGTGGTTGGTCCGTGATGAGGAACTTGACCGCTGTGATGACTGTGCTCCGGGTGTGCGGCTGACCTGCAGGGCAGAGGTGGCTCAGGGAGCAGTGGGGTTAGGGTTGGGGTTAGAGTTAGGGTTAGGAGTTAGAGTTAGGGGTTAGAGGCTAGAGTTTGGGGTTAGGTTAATGATGGGGTTGAAGTTAGGGTTAAGGTTATGTTTAGGGATAGGGTTAGGCATAGGATTAGAGTTAGGGATAGGTTTAGGGTTAGGGTTAGGGGTTTGGGGATAGAGTTAGGGTTAGGTTTAGATTTAGGGCAGGGGTAGGGTTAGGGGTTAGAGTAGGTTCGGGGTTAGTGGTTAGGTTGTATGGTTAGGGGTTGGGATCAGGGGCTTGCCCTAACCTGCTCTGTTAGAGGTCGAAATCCCCTCTTTCTCCTAGGCAACTCTGCCCAGGCTCTGGGAATCCACACTCTCATTTCCCTCCCGTCTGATGTGATCAGCCACAGGGGACAGTAGGATGGATTTGTAAAGACCCTGATGATGAAAGCAGGACCACTCTGGGACCTTCTCATGAAATATAGATACTTCATTATATTTTTCAGATGCATTATCAATTAACCCTTACGATGGTCCATTTAATTAGCAATAATATATTAATTTAAATAATGAAAAGGATTATTCCTCTGTATTTTATGCTAGAGGAAAGGGAGATTCAGAGAGGGTAAGTTCACATCTAAGGCCACACAGCAGGCCCAGGGCCTCTTCCTCCCTTGTGCCCTCGTCCTCCAGGCCGGCTGTGTGCTCAGGCTGGCTACACACCAGTTATCCAGTAGATCTCAGCCCAGCCCTGTCTGGGGATGAGTTTGCTTATGTCTGCTTTGCTGCTTTCTGGGCAGGGGAGCTGGAGGATGGGAGGGAAGCCCACTCCCTTAGTGATGGGAAACTTCAAATGTCTCTCAGTCTGCTCTGAGTTGCAAGCTGGGATTCAGTGATTGGAAAGTAAAAACAGAGGCTGAGGACAAACATGAGTACAGAGTGGGGATGAGGTCTGGGGGGGCACTGCAGCAGCAGCACAGGAGTCCCAGGGCCTGCTGGATGGTCCACTGGCCCAGACTCTGGGCAGCAGTGGAAAGGCAAGGTGGCCAGCTGCTGGCTCGACAGTGGGCACGAGACAGGCAGGATTCAGTGCCCAGAAGAAGCAGGGCCCCACCTTATCCTGAGAATCCCAGCTCTGGGGGCTCCCTGTACCACGGGATCCACAACATCATCCACACTGTGGTGAGGGCCAGACAAAAGGACCTTGTGAAGCCAGCAAGCCAAGCAGGCCTGGACAGCAATCATTGTGCCTGCACGAACCTTTGGTTTACCTGGCATCCCTTGGGTGCCATACACCATGCCTGCCAGTATTCAGCAACACAGCCCTGGTCCTGAAGCCCAGGCCTTTGTTCCCAGCAGCTTTCCCGGCCCAAGAGCCCCAGCCTACCTGCTGCTTCTCCCTGAGGAGGGCTGAGTCCCACCACCACACAGCTGCCCTCTGGTTCTAGCCCAGCCCTCTCCAGACCCCAGGGCATGTCCTGCAATCCTAGGGGAAGCTAACCCCAGAGCACTGCCCCTCCGCCAGCCACAGGCTCCACCCCAAGAGCCTCGGTGATTGACCTCAGCTGCAGCACTCAGCTGCTATCCTCACCAAGGACCAGGACAATGGCATCCATGTTTAGCTGCACAGCCAACCATGACAACCTCAGAGGATGGCTCCAGGACCCTCTGCGTTTAACTAACTCAGAGATGCCCAGGGCCCTTCTACACATGGAGTCACATTGCAGCATGGCCTCCCATGTGCTGTCAATCACATCCAGATGGGCGTTGATACATTAGTGTCAGTAGCTGTTACCCCCATATAGTTAGGGAATGAAGACAAAAAAACCCTCTCAATGTGTTTGGTACAGACTGAATTTTTTTGTTTGGTTATATTTTTGAGACAGGATCTTGCTATAGAGTCCAGGCTGGCCTGGAACTCACTATGTACCCCAGGCTGGCCTTGAACTCCCAGCGATCCTCCTGCCTTAGCCTCCCTAATGCTGAGATTACAGGCGTGCAGCACCACGCCTGGCCAGACACAATTATTTTCCTATTTCAATCGAGGTTGATCAGTGTGAGAATTCATGATTATTTTATCATTGTTTCTTTAAAGGTTGAACTGCAGCTGAGTGATGAGGCTGTAGTAGAAGATTAACTTTCCACCTTGTGTGCTGAACTCAAGAACTACGCATCCCTCTTGAGGTGATCCACCCACTCGTCATGTCTTAAGGAATACCATTTCCTTTCCTTTCCAAGCAGCAGGTCAGAGATCCCTTTCAATTACAAAAACATATACAATTTTGGCCCCCTGGATCACTAACCCTAAGTAGCCTATACACATTTGTTTAGTCTTCAAACCACACCTGGCTGTCCCTCAGACCTGAGAGCGATGACAAGGGCCACCATGACCTGATGGCACTGGTCCTGGGCTGACAGCTCCAGACCACTCCTCACATTAAAATCAAATAGGAAAATCTCAGTCTCTCCCCTGACCACGAAGTCCTCTCGGACCCTCCCACTGCTGCTCTCTTGCAGTGCAGTGTAAACACCTAACTCTTCAATTCCTTGACTGTTGGGAAATTCTCTTCACCACCTCTGGCGCCAGCTTCTCACAGAGTGCCTCACACGCAGGGAATCTACAGAACAGGACACCAGATATAAACGGCTGGATGGGTTTGCGATGGGGACATAGCAGGATTTTGTCCCCTCTTCCTCAGAGGCTCCTTTGACTGGATGTGCAGAGGCTGTGACCCTCACACTCGGGGACTGGAAGCAGCCGACTGTGCTGGACCACTGTGGGCTGTGCCTACCTGCTGAGAGCTGCTTCTGCAAGCGGGGCAGGAGGAATGGGGGGTTCACAAGCACCAGCTTCCCGATGCACTCGGCCACTACGCCCCGGGTGCCCTCCTCGGTGCCCTCGCAGTGCTGGAAGAGCAGTGCCCAGATGTCCTCGGCATAGGGTTTCAGGCCATCAGGTGGCGCGGCCCCCAGTGCTTCCCGTAGAGCCTGCAGCAGCAGGTACTGGCGCCGTGGCTCGGCCTCAATCTGAGCCAGCAGGAAGGGCAGGAAGTCAGGCAAGTTGCCGGCGCCCACACGGCCCAGTGCATAGGAGGCTGCGGCCCGCACATCTTCACTGGGTGAGCCTAGGGCTTCCAGGAGCACGGCTTTCAGCTCACGCTGGGGGCCTGGCCCGGCCACCTGGCCCACCTCAGCTAGCGACAGGAATGCCAGCACCTTGACCCCCGTGCTGGAGTTCGGTGACCTGGCATCCCCGACCAGGAGGTTGGCTGTGCTTGCTGCCTCCTGGGGACAGGCGGCCGAGAGGGCAGCCACACATCGGGCCAGTGAGTGGAACACCTGCTTGTGCAGGCCTGGCCCGCCATCCCTAGGCTGGTTGTACACAGGCGCAGTGAGCAGGCTGAGGAGCTCAGTGTAGGCCATGCATGGGGGGCGACTCCCCACCAGTGTCTGCAGGAAGCCTTCAGCAGCCACCAGCACGCTGGCCGGCAGCAGTGGGGAACGCAGCAGCCGCAACAACTGGACTAGCACAGGCCCACTGACCTCCGCCATACAGGCCGGCTGGACTGGGGTCATGGTGGCCAGGAAGTCCACAGCCAGCTGGGCCACGTGCATGTCGCTCTCGCTAACCAGTGCAGGCAGCTCAGCCAGCACGGTCCGAACAGCTGGGGGTGGGAGGCTGTGGCCCTGACTCTGGGCCAGGGCATCCAGCACAGCCAGCGTGGCCAGCCGCAGCGCCCGCTGGTTCTTGCGCAAGAACGAAGCTAGAATGGGCAGCACCTCGGCGAGGATGGGCTGAAGGTCAAGCTGCAACGGGGACATGGCCACCAGTGTCAGTGCTTTGACAGCAGGTAGCCGGGTGATCTCATTTCGCAGGTGGTCGAGGAGGAGCAAGAGTGTGGGCTGCAAGATATCCCCAAGCTGGTCGCCCAGGTGGCCCACAAGGTAGCCCACAAAGGAGATGGCCCGCTCCTTCACCTCCTGGTCCAGGTCGGTAGCATGGAGCCGGGCCAGTGTGGCCTCAGACATCTTTACCACGTAGGGTGCAGGATCTAGCACCCGAGGCTTGCCCAGTGGCCACAGGGCGCGCACCAGCTCCTGGAGCACCAGCAGGGCCTCAGCTGCAATCTTATAGAAAGGGTCAGCCACACAGGCCATCACAGGCGGCAGGAGGACAGGCAGGTGGGGCTGGAAGGCCTCAGGAGGCTCTGTGCTCAGCAGCCCCTGCAGGAAGGCCAGGGTGTCCATCCGGATGGTGGAGGAGCTGGAGCAGTCGGCCAGTGAGAAGACGATGCCTATGGGGTGGAGACAAGGTCACAGGCCTGGAGACCTGCCCAGCATGGCCCCTTGAGGTGCTGGACCAAAGCACCTCATCCCTGAGACATTCCCAAGCGCTCAACTGCTCAGCCGTGGGCCAGCACCAGGGGAAGCAGGGAGGGGCCTGTGTCTGCCTTGGCTTCCTGAATGGCTGACCCCAGGTGGCCTGGCTCACCTGACACCAGCACAGGCATGTGCTTTGCCAGGCTGCCCGGGAGGACACCTGACAGCTCTGCCAGGAGGTTGAAGCAGCCCTGGCGTGCCCGGGCACTGCGGTCTTTTAGCTGCTGCTGCAGGGCTTTGATTACCAGGGGTACCTGTGGACAGAAGGGGTGGTCAGAGCCACCCAGGGACACCTGTGAGCAGGTGGAGTAACTGGGGAACACCGAGGAAATGCCCTGTACCCTAAGGCTTGCCCAGGCTTCCTCAGGAGGATTCTCTGAGGACAGGATGCCACCTGGCTCTCAGCAGTCTTTCCAAGCCAGGCACTTGACTAGGACATCTAGATAAAAATTCCAGCACCCTGTTTATAGGTACAGAGACAAAGGGACAGGCCCAGGTCATGCAGGCAGTCTGGCTGTCACTGCTACCCTTGTGCCAGGTGGCAGGGCCCTGGCCAGTCCCACCACAGCCACCTGTCCCCTCCTTGGCTTGATTCTCTCCCCCAGTGTCCTTCTGAATCTGCAAGCCAGGATACCCAGTCTGCACCTCTAGCCAGCTCAACATGGGCTCAGGTCACACTTCATGTCCCCCAAGGCTCCTAGATGCTGTTTGGCCCCATGTGGGGTGCGAGAGGTCCTGGGAAGTGCAGGGTGGAGCTCTGGGAGCCATGGGCTGTTACCTGGAGGTGCTGAGCAATTTTGAGCAAGCTTGGGCCACCCTGCACTCTGGCCCAGGTCTTGCCATGTGGTCTCCATTCTGTACACATTCTGGCCACAGTGCCATTGCCACGATGTAAGGCAGCCAGGGAGTCCTCTCCAGAGCCACACCAGGCTGCTTGGACATCTGTCTCCAGACCCTGAGCTGAACTGACCTCCACAAACACCCAGCCTTCGTCATTTTGTTACAGCCTCCTGTGAGGACCTCAAACAAAACCATGCAGAGTCTCGATGTCCCCCATCCCAGGGAATCCCACTTCCTGCTGTCACCAGAAGCAGGAAGTCACATGACCCCATCTATCCCGGGAGAACATCCAGCCCACCAGCGAGGCCCATGATTATAGCCAAAACCTACTTCCTCCGTCTTGCTACTGCTATCAGGCCCAAGCGCCATCTCCTGTCCTTGGACAGCTGCAAGGTCCTCCCGTTGCCCCCACCTTGCCCCATGACAACCATCCTCATGGGTGCGAGATTTTTCATCTGTGACCTGGCCACCATGGTCCCCTCCTGGGACTTCCGCCTCCTGTCAGGTGAACCAAACCCATCCCACGCCTAGCCCACCTGTCCTCAAGACCGTGGCCCCCACAGGGGTGGCACAGGTCAGCAGGTGAGGGGAGGGAGAGAAGGGGGCCTGGTGAAGGGATGGAGGTGACAGCAACTGGCCCACCTGTTCTTGCAGTGCCCGGAGGCTGCTGTCTGCCAGCATGGACTCCTCCGTGGTGTTCAGCCAGCCCTGAGGTGGCCGCATCTGCCGCAGCAGCACAATGTAGGCGGCGAACACATCGGCCTTGACATTGTCCTCACGCTCACGGAATCTGCGCACTAGTGCAGGCGCCAGGCTGCAGTATAGGTCGGGCAGCAGGTCGGGCCGCGAGCCCAGCAGGGCTGCCAGACACTTGGCCGCTGCCCGCCGTACCTTCCAGCTCATGTCGTCATCATCGCTGTACTCATCTTCGACCTCTGGGGGGGAAGGAGACATGAGGTCTGTGGCTTGGTGAATGGGGGACAGCTCTTGATCTGTGCTTACACTCCCTTGGACAGGCCCTGGTGGTGTGCTGGAACAGTGCAAGGCACCCCAAGCCTGCAGCTCACTGCTTCCAAGCAGGAGTAACAACAAAAAGCCAGCTCAGTGTAGCTTTATCTCTCACTCTCTCTCTCTTTTTTGCTTTTTTTGAGACAGGCTCTCACTATTTCTCAGGCTGGCCTTGAATTCACGGTGATCCTCCTACCTCAGCCTCCCAAGCACTGGGATGATAGGCACGCACCACCATCTCGGGCTCTGTGTGGCCTTTAACTCTAAAGTTCCCCTGAGAGGCAAAAGCACCTCAGAAAGATAGGTGCTGCTGAGGCCACTTCACAGATGGCAAGATGGGCTCAGAGAGAGCAAGACATCTTCTCAGGGCACATAGCTAAGACTATAGAGCTGAGATGAAGACCGAGGAAGCCCACCCACATCACTGGGGGTACACACATCCCACCGAGGAGCACCCTTGGCCACTCTGAGGATGATGCAGACTCAGGGCACACAGTCTGGGTGAGCCTCAGCAGGCCACTCCCTATGCCACCCTTGAAGAAATGTCCACAGCTCCCTATGACTGGCAAGAAAACATCCACACTCCCTGGCTTGGCATCTATGGCTCCAGCTGCCTGCCCAATCTTGGCTCCTACCACGAGGCCCTAAATCCTGTCCCCACCTGTACCCTGTCTTCCAGGCCCAGGGCATCTCTGCCCTGACACCGTGTGAGGGAAAAAACTGCATCTATCTCCACCCAGAATCCCTCCTGTCATCCCTGTCTGTCCCTCACAGTGCATCCTTCTCCTAGGATAAAAGCACCATCTCTTGAAAACTATGAATACAAGGATGCAGAGGCAGCAGCCAGAGCCGGCTCCAAGTCCCAGTGCTGTCACCACCCAGCCGTGCCATTGCAGGCAAAAATCGTCTTAGCTTGGGTTCCTGGTCTGGGACATGAGGATAATTACAACGGGTATTTGGTCACTGTGCAGAGCATGGGACGACAGAGCCCAGGATCCGAAATGATAGCAGTGACAGTTGCCTTCGGTGGCCCCAAGGACTGATCCCAGGACCGCTCAGATAACAAAACCTGAGAAGCTCAAATCCTTTCTCTAAAATGGCTTAATATTTGCAAATAGCCCATGCACATCCTCCTGAATACCTTAAGGCACCTCTAAATTGAGTTATGAGGAGTGACCCAAAAGCACCATGAATGTTAAGCTTTTTTTAATGTATTACAATAAAAGACATGTCATTAATCTCCCTCAAGATACTCCCCCTCACTTCAAACACACTTATCCCATCCTCCTTGCTACTTTCTGCAGTAGTTCTGGAGTCTTTCCTCAGTGTCTTTAGGAAGTGTGATAAAAAATACAGTGAATGCTGCTGCCGAATGCCATCCAATAGAAAGGTAGGCTCATAAAATATGATGGTATCCTCATCCACCTTATCCACTGTATGACTTCTGGTTCTTCCTCAAAGTCAAAATGACCATGAAAAAAGTCAATGTTTTGAGTCACTTCAGGATATCAAGGCAGCCATAACAGCAGAACTAAAGACACTCATGAAAGAGGGGGATTCATTGTAGTGTGACTTTTTTTTTGGTACCGGGGATCGAACTTGGGACCTTGTGCTTTCGAGGCAGGTGGCGGCACCACTGAGCTAAATCCCCCGCCCATGTAGTGTGACTTTCAATGTAATAAAATTTTAAAACTTAAACTATTTAGGGAATAATGATAGAGAGAGAAAAGCCTATACATGTTCAGTACAGACAAAAGAAATTTTTGAGCACTTTCACCCCGCAGGCAGCTGAACTCGTGGATGCAGATGTTGATGGGGTAGCCCTGGACCCAGTCTGTGCTGTGGCCTTAGCAGCCAGGTAGGCTGGCATCGTATAGGCCTGATAGGGCCCTGTCTTTGGCTGGGGGATACCCAGAAGGCCAGGCTCAAACCCCCCCCAGCCCCATGACAATCCCCACTCACCTTGCTCACTGGACTCGCTGTCCTCTGTCTCCATCTGCTCCTCATCTTCGTCACTGTTGTAATTGTAGTTGGGGTCGTGCTTCAGGTACTGGAGGCAAAGGCTGGTCACTCTGGGCACATGGGGCCCCATCTCCTTGGGGCACCTGCAGTAGAGCAGAGGAGGCTCTGCTGGGCCAGGCAGGGCAGGGTCACTCCTGTCCCCTCACTTCCGTCCTCTATCTCCCAGGGCACCTACTTCCTCAGGAAAGCCTCACAGGCCTGCAGGCAGGATTCGCGGAGCTCGTCATCCTCCAGGCCACAGAACTCCTCCAGCAGCGGCACCAGGCGGTCCAGGTGGAGCCCTGCGGGCCAGGTAGGGCATGGGGCCGTGTGGGACACTCTCTGGAGGTCCCCAACTCATGGCCTTCAGCCCCTGCAGCCCTCAGCCTTCCCTATGGCCCTCGACCCCTGCCAGCCTCACCAGTACAGACTCAGCACAGAGGCTCTGGTGGCAGATGTAAGCCCATCCCCGACTGCTACCCAATGCCATGGGACTTGGGGCAAGGGCTAAGGCCTCCCTGACTCATCTACTGATCTGTTTTTTGGGGCTGGATGAGTGCTGGACCACTGAGCCGCAGCTACAGCCCTGAGTCTAGATTCTGTGGAGAGTGAAGATGACACAGTTGACAGGAGCTTAGCTCAGATCCCAGCACAGAGCAGGCTCTGCTGCGGAACCTCTCTGTGGCTTCCGCCCCTCACCTGCACTGGATCCTAGGCTCCCAGATGAGGAGGGGAAGGCAGGAGGCAGGGGCTCACTTGTGTCCTTCCCTGATGCACCCTCCCAGGGTGGTCAGAAGGCCAGCATTCTCAGTGGTCTCTATTTTGGGTCCCTGGGACCCTAGAGACTCCTACTCAGCCCCGTGAGCCCTGTCCCAGCCTGTGCAGGCCTCTCTCCTGGCAGCGTCCCCAGGGTGCTGGAGCTGGCTGAGGTTGTGGGCAGAGTGTGCCCAGAAGGGGGCAGTCCCTGCATTCACATCCAGTGTGCAGCACCCTGGGGAAGGAAGGGCTGGGCTGCAAGAGAACTCAGGACACTTGGGGTGAAGGGGACACTCTGACAGGACTGTGGCGGGACTTTCACAAGAGCACGTGAATGTCAAAATGCACTAAATGTACACTAAATAGGAGGCTAATTTTAGGTGCAGTATTCCAAATAAAGTTTAAGAAAATTCAAACCTGGCTCACAGGTTATTAAGGGGTCTGTCAAAGTAGGCGGGCAGAACTTATGAGTTATGTGTAAACCTCCCGGGCCACAGAAGTGCCTTCCTGTCACCAGAGGCAGGAACCGAGGTCAGTGTGGGACTCCTGCTGGGCCCCGCCCCTCCCACGCACTGGTACAGCCCCCGCCCTTATCTTCCCTGCCTCCTCGCATTGGCCCGGCTCCCTTCCCCTGACCCGCAGCCCGCCCCACCCCGGGCCGGTTCCTACTCCCCCAACCCCTGGAGCCCCGCCCCCTCGCTCCGGATCCCCGCCTCTGAGCCCAAGCCCTTGCCCCTTCCTCCCTAGCTGCCCACTCCTCACCGAGCCGGTGTCCGGCCTGGCGGCCCACGCTGCCCACGCACTGCACCAGCGTGCGCAGAGCGGCGGGGCTGGCGGGCACGCATGGGCCGGGCAGTCGCTCCAGCAGGTGGTCTGCGAGCTCTGCGAAGAGGTCGGCACTGCATGTGGCCGCCAGGTGTCCGAGCGCGACAACCACCCGCTTGCGCACAGCCAGGCGCGGGCTGCTCAGCTGGGGCAGCAGGCAGTGAAGCAGGCTGGCGTGGAAGGAGCCCAGCGGGGCTCCCAGCCTGCGGGAGGCCGGGGCGTCAGTGCCTGCCCAGCCGTGGTCCCCGCCCGGCACCCTGCTTCTGCCCCCTTGGTACGCTGAGCCTTGGACTTGAGACTCAAGCCCCGGAGTGGCCGTCTCTGTGGCAGCTCCAGCCCCTCTTGCATCCCTGGGCACAGTTGACCCATAGTGTCACCCATGTGGCCTCATCTTCCCAAGGCTGAGCACCCCAGACTTCTCTCTCCTGGGCTGATTTGTTTCTCAGTCCATCTACTAGTGGCAAAGGCTGTGGCCAGGTCATGGTCAAGCTGGTGCCGCAGGTCACTTGCTCCTGCTCTGGCACTGCCCACCACACCCATCCGTCTGTCCATCCCTCCCTCCCCCGCTACTGGCAGCTGAGGCCGGGTCACCTTGAGTCTCTGCCTCTGCCACCCCTGGGTCCACGGACTATGGAGGAGGTGCTCAGGGTGCTGATGGTGTGATATTGAACTGGTCACACCGCCTCCCAGAGCCTGTTTAGAGGTGACCACAGAGCATTTCCTGGCAGGGTGGCTAAGGGTTAAGGTGCCTCTGGGTGGCACTGGCTCCATACATCCAAATCCCTGTCCCCTTACCTGCTCAGCATGTCAGACAGGATGTCCAGGGCCTCCAGCTGCACGGCCACATCCTCCTGCTGGGCAATGGCACTGGTGAGCTGGCCAGTGATCTTCCGGCACACATTGGTGGCCAGCCCGGAGCCTGCGCCCGGCACAAGGTGGGCACAGTGAGGGCCTGGACTGGAGGAGAAGCAGTCTTCACCTCTGCCCACCTTCCCTCCAGCTGTGTTCCCAAGCCCACACTTCTGGGAATCTTGCAGATCCAAGCAGGGGAACTTTGGAGGCCCCAGGTGTGACCCAGAGTCTGACCAGACAAAGGAGAGAGCCAAGGGAGCTGGTGTAGGATGGCGGAGCAGTGGCCTCACTCCTGCCCTGGCCCTTCCTCCTTGACCACTTCCACTGGGTGGTGGGAAAGCTACATGCTTCACCAGGCTCCCACATGGTCAGGGACAGCCAGGTGACCAGTTCTGTCAGTGAGCCAGCATAGGAGTCTTCTGGGGGCTGGGAGACAGTGTGTGCTTTTCTTATAAAGGGGAGGAGAGGTAGGCTCAGACCTCAGCATGGTCCATGTTGAGCTGATAAGTGAATTGCTACAAAAATGGAGTGGCTGATCCTCCAGAGATCATGTAGCTTCTTTTTTCTTTCTTTCTTTTTTTCTTGAGAGCTTGTTAGGAGGTTCTAGCAGGGGAGCGCAGCTACTCCTTTACACTAGAAAGGGTGCTCCTCTATTGGGGATGGGCGTCCTCTTTGACCGAGAGCCCAGCTTCAGGAGGGACACACATGGAGCAGTGAGGGAGGAAGGGGACACCCACCCACCCAGATCAGCCAAATCCACCCTGGTGATCAATGGGATGACAGATGTCACAGCCAGATCGCCCTCACAACCTTTCTTTGTTTTTTGAGACAAAGTCTCGCTGTTATAGCCCGGGGCGGCCTCGATCTCACAGTGATCCTCCTGCTGCAGCCTCTGGAGTGCTGGGATTACAGGTGCACACCACCCTGCCTGGTTCATATTGCTTCTTTAAGCTGCCATTCTGTGCACCTAAAAGCATTTCTAGCAAACACAGAGCAATGATCTCGGTCTGAGTTTGATGCCATCTCCTAGCTGAGGAGCTTTGGGTCAGGACCATTGCCACACTGAGCCTCAGTTTTTTAACCATGAGCTGGGACAAAAAGCAATGTGCCCAGTGCTGGGGCCTGGGTACCTGTGGCTGCAGGTGGCAGCTCCGAGAGCACAGTCTTGAGGCCGATGCTGGCAATATCCCGGAGCTGCTCCTTGTCGGACCGCATGTTGGCACAGAGGGCATCCACAATGGTCTCCACCTGACACTCCTTCACCTTGCCCACCAGCGGACCCAAGCTGGGCAGGAGGGAGGCGCCTGAGTCAGCTGTTCCTGGAGCCTGTGCTCCAGAGCTACAGAGGTGGAGGAAAGGGCCCTGCCCAACAGACTCTCTGCTCTGCCCATGCCCCATCCTGTGCCCAGCACGGCATCCAATGGATCCTTGTGCCCTGCCCTGCAATCCTTGTGCCCCTTGGGAGCTGAGGGTGTGCGTTTCTAGCCAGTTCCCATGAACACTGGTGCTGGTCATCAGAGCCCCCATGCAACACCTCAGAGCCTGGTTCTGGGGCATTGGTTTGGGCAAAAACAGCTGCACCAGACTCCCTGGCTCCCAGGCTGCTGCACACTCCTGCCATTGAGCACCGCCCTTGGGGAGTCTGAAATACCTGGTTTCAGGTGTGGCCTGGTTGGTGGGACTTTTTATTTTTAGTACTAGAAATTGAATCAAGGGCCTTCACGCTGAGCTGCATTCCCAGCCCTTTATGTTTTGAGATAGTGTCTCACTAAGTGGCAGAGTTCTCCAGGCTGGGCTCCAACTTGATATCCTCCTGCCTCAGCCTCCCAGAGTGCTGGAATCACAGGTGTTTGCCACCACACCCAGCCCAGTGGGATGTTTTAACTCCACAGGTGACTTTAATGTGCAATCACAGTTGAAATCTCTGCCCTCAGCGAGCGGCTCTCAGGTTAGAATTCGTCCAAGAGCAGACTGCAGGTGCCAGCTCCCACTCTCCTACTCCCCTCCACCCCGGTCCCCAGCCTTCTCCATTCTCTAGCAGCCAGTGCTGCAGCCCTGCCTAGTGGCTTTCTCTGGTTGGAGGAGATAGAAAAGAACCCTCCATCCTAGTAGCTACAACCACAGATAGGCAGTGGAGTCACACCCTAGCTTCCTCGTCCTGCCCCAGAGGTCCCCAGGGAATTTAAAAACTCAGTTCCTCCAGCTGGGCGTGATGGTGCACACCTGTCATCCTGGTGCTCAGGAGACTGAGGCAGGAGGAGGGTTGCCATGAGTTCAAGGCCAGCCTAGACCAGGAAAAAAAAAAAAATCTTCCGCAGGGCTTCGCCTGGCTCTTTTCCTTCCTCTCCCTTCCTCCTTTCTACTGAATTTCCCAGGATCACCACCTCCCAAATCAACTGGGACCAAAGTCCTGGCTCAGGGTCTACTTTTGGAGGAAGCCAGGTGGAGCCACTGTCCAGCCCCTGGTGCCCTGGAGCTTCAGGCAGGTCCTCTCTCAGGCTGTCCCCAAGGACAGTGCCCCTGGGTGCCTCACCCCACCACGGACCTCCTGTCCCCTGACTCACCACCGCACGGCCAGGTTCTGTACCTCGCCATTCTTGTCTTCCAGGAGCCTGAGGAGCATCTTCACGACCTTTTGCTCGCTGTCCTCATCCAGCTGGATAGAGTCTTTCTGCAGCTCCGTCATCAGATCGCTGGTGGCCATGAACCTAAGGACCAAGGAGATTCACAGGGCGTTGTCCTTGTGGACACACACAGCCGGCTCCATGCCTGTGTCCCTGTCTGAGAGTGGGGGTGAGCACAGGACCCTCATGAGGCCGTGGGGGCCATGGCAAGTGGCAAGGACCACACAGCAGCCAAGGTAGCCAAGGCAGGTAGGCAGAATGCCCTGCCCAGCCCTGCAGGGACCCTAACCTAGGTTGCAGCCTGGGGTCCCCCTCACATTCTAATAAGCCCCTGGGTGACACTCAGGGTGGAAGACTGAACTTTGGAAACCACTGCCCCAGGCCCTGCTGCCCTGGACACAGAAAAGGTGGCCAATAGGTGACATGCAGGTCTTCAGACCTGGCTCACTGTGGGGTGGGCACTAGGGCCAGGGTCCATGTGGCCCGACACCTAACTCATGTGAGATCGTGGCTGGCCATGGAGCTGGAGCAGTGGGGCCTGGGATACCATACCTGGCAGGTGAAGCCAAGCAAAGGCCAAACTGTCCCCAAGGGGCCTATCCCTGCAGGGCTGCTCTGCCATTCCCTGGCTCCCCCAGGACTTGGTGTGCAGATAGAGAACGAGGAGACCTAGACTGGAGGCCCGGGATGCCCTGCCCTCTGCCACTCCTGTGTCACCAAAGGCCACTCCTAGCCTCCTGGGTTGTGATCTTCATGCTGTGGTGGCCCATAGTGCCCTTGGACCAGGCAGGCCCCTGTGCCCATCACAGGTGTTTGTTTTGACAGCTGGGCTGGCCTCAGTCACTGAGAGGAGGCAGGACACTGGGGGGTGGTAAGGGGATGTGAGCCACAGCCTGAGGTGGCCACGTGTGTCATTAGATCTGCTCCATGGAAGGGACATTTGGCTCCCAGTCTGTGTTTCTGTCCAACCTAGGGAAGTGTCCCAGAGACTCAATGGGCCTTCTGCCCTGCTTTCTTCTCTACCCATGGAGTTCCTGTTCATCCATCAAGAGCCCAGCTCCAGTGTCCCAGCAAGAGATGATTATGACTGTTCTATCCTACCCCTGCCCCCAATCCCCCTCACACCTAAGCATAACTGTTTCTCGGACAAGATCCTTCTGAGCATATCCCCTGTGCTTCGATACCAGTGTAATGAGAAGAACCCTTCTCTCTGGACTCAGCTCAGTGGGGCTGGCTGTCAGTTCAGCACTGGGACCTGGGCTACGCAAGGAACAGGTGCACAGAGGGCAATGGAGAGGGCTAGGGTTGGGGTTAGGTTCAGGGTTAGGGTTAGGGTTAGGGTTAGGGCTATGGCTGTGGTGAAGTCTAGGGTTGAGAGTAGGGTTTTAGGTTAGGTCTAGTTTTAGTTTTAGGGTTAGAGGTAGTGCTAGGGCTAAGGCTAGTGTTAGGGCCAGGGCTAGGGCTAGGATTAATGTTAGGGCTAGGATTAGGGTTCAGACTAGGGCTAGGTCTATGGTTAGATCTAGGGTTAGGCTGATGTACAGGGGTAGGTTAGAGCTTGGGCTAGGCTTATGGCTAGGGCTAGGGCTAGGGCTAGGTTTAGAGTTAGGGCTATGGCTAGGGCTGGTGCTTGTTTCAGGCCTAGGGTTACTGTAGGTTTAGGGCTAGGGCTAGGGCTATGGTGAATTCTAGGGTTGGGACTAGGTGTTTAAGTTCGGTCTAGGGTTAGGGTTATGTTCAGGGTTAGGAGTAATATTAAGGTTAGAGTTATTGTTAGGGTTAGGGTTATGGCTACTGTTAGGCTTATCATTAGATTTAGGTTTAGTGTTAGCTTGGGATTAATGTTAGGGTAGCAGGAAAGTTAGGATTAGGTTTAGAGTAACATTGCACTTAGTGTTAGCATTATAGTTAGGGCTAAGGTTAGCAGGGAAAAGGATGGAGAAAGGCACCCTTTGGCAGTGCTCAGAGAGTTAAGGTTAGGGTTAGAGCTAGGGTTATTGTTAGGTTTACTGTTAGGGTTAGGGTTAGCTGGAAGAGGAATGGAAGGAGGAAGCCTTTGGTAATGCTTGGAGCCCAACAGCTGTAGGGAAATTTGAACTCAGAATTCAACCCTTCTAAATGTGCCTCAGCATTTCTGATCCTGGAGTTCCTTAGACAACAGCTAAGAGTGCATATAAACTAATCTATTTAGTAGAAGTTAGTGGATAAGAGCTTTAGTATGTTAAATTAGGCTTTATGTAAATATATTAGCCATGACACATATCAACAAGGTGATCCTGGCCACCTGCTTCCTCTTCTTGGTGCTCTTTTCCAATGACAAAATGAGTATTTTCTTTGCCCCTAACTTGTAGCTCCTTTGGAGGTATTAATGGGGCAGATGAGGCTATCTATTCTCAGAGAGGTTGCAGGACCTACCCTAGGTCACACAGCAAACTGGCGGAACACCAGCCCCCCAAATCAGCCTCCTGACTCCTCCACCTATAGGACTGTGCTTTCAGAAATGATCTGGGAATTTCTGAAAGACTGTGTTTATAGGCTGGTGTGTCTAAGGGAGTAGGATGGGATCTATGCTTCCCCCACCTACCCAGGGCCTCCTTCTATCCTTGTCCCCTCCAAGAGCCCCAGGCCACAGTGTTGGTTTTGTTCCAGAGAAACCCTAGAGGCCACTCAGCCCAGGGCCACATGGGCACTGGGACAGCTGATGCTGGGACCCTAAAAATAGCCACCATTGCCGTGGCTCAGCTTGGTGTTAAGTGTTCTCAGGCCTCTGGCAAGGACAGGCAAGGGCTTCTTGAGTGCCAGGCAGAGGGGGCAGAATCCATTGCCTGGGGAGTGCCAGGGTGCCTGGGCCCAGCCGATGTCCCCTGAGTACTTCTGTGTCCCCTGTTGTCCCTGTGGTCCAAGAGCGCAGCGGTTCCTGGGCGAGAAGTGACACAGCAGAAACACGCTGTGTGGGGGGGAGCCCTGTCCCCAGCAGCACCTGAAGGGGTGGGGTGAGGGGCCCAGGGGATCTCTAAGGTGTGCGGAAGCTCAGCCTTCACCTGGCGTGGCCCCTCCTCCATCGCTGCACTGGCCCTCTCCTGACTCTCCCCCAGCCTTGGGCCGGCAGTCACCAGGACTTGAGGGTGGGATGATTTGTGCGTGGTCACACAGCTGTGAGGTGTGTGTGGGGTTAACTTGCAGGGTGCTGAGGATCGAGCATTCCAGGGCCCCCACCCGCTGGTGTGAGACAGGATCTCTACACTAGCCTGGCCGGACCCAACCCAAGTCTCTGCTGTCCAGCTCTGTGGTGGCACCTGGGCCCTTCCTACCTCTGAACCTCAGTGCTCCTTTCTGTAAAATGGGGACAAAGTGCCAGCTGAGGGGCTGTGGCCAAGGGGTCCCTAAGGCCTCTGGCAGCTCCAGGGTCCAGCACTGGCCTGTGGCCATGGCCCATCCCTTCTACCCTGGGCCTCAGTTTCCCCTGAGAGGAGGGGCCGAACCAGTCTTCCAGCATTCCCTTGTGCTCTGCCACTGAGGTTCTGGGATGCTGGACAGGGAAGAGAAGAAGCCAGGAGTGGGGAAAGGGTAGGCATGGGGCCGGAAGCTGCCACAGCTCAGCCACCCCTTCTCAGGACTAGGGGGAGGGGGAGGGGGAGGGGGAGGGGTCAGGGCTAGGGTGAGGGTCAGAGTTAGGGGTGAGGTCAGGGTGAGGGGGAGGGTCAGCAAAGGAGCAGAGCAGCTGGCTTGGGGATAGGGTGGGGCTGAGCTGGTGGGTGCCTGGGTTTGGGATCAGGGTTAGGATCAGGATCCTGAAGGTCAGGGAAGGAACAGGGGAGCCTTGGATGGGGGCAGGGCCAGGCAGGCGTCTCCCCTGGGTTAGGGGCAGGGTTAGGATCAGGATTAAAGTTAGGGTTAGGGGCAGGGTGAGGGTCAGGGGCTGGCTAGAGGAGCAGGTCGGGAACGGGGGTGGGGCCAGGCTGGCCGGTCCGGGTTAAATCAGGGTTACGACCAGGGTCGGGGTCAGGATCAGGGTCCGGGTCGCGGTGGGGCAGGGGCGAGGCCAGCGCGCACCTGAAGTCTTTGTCGCTGGACGTCATCTTCTCCAGGAGCCCCGCCACGTGGAAGGCCGCGGTGCTCATGGTGCTGCGTGGCAGGGATCGAAATGGCGCCGGCGCCCCTGCTTCCCGCCGAGGGGACAGAAATAGCAGCGCCCTGCCCGGCAGCCCCGGAGAGGCTGGCAGGGCGGGCGGCTGGCCTGGCGAGGAGCAGCTGAGTGCTAGGCCCGCCCGTCTGCTCGACCCGATGGCACTGCTTGGGCTTGCACACCCCCAAGGACGGGGAGCTCACTCCCTGTCACAGCACATTGCCGGCTCCCAGGGATGCCGAGGGTTCTGACTCGGCCACGGGCCCCTGGACACTACTCGCAGGCATGGGCAGGGTATTGGAGCCTCAGGTTCGAATCCCAGCTTTGCCTCTTCTGCAGTGTAGCTTTGGGCAGGTTCCTTTACCTTTCTTTATTCCCGAACCTTTTTTGTTTTTTTAGACAGGGTCTCACTATTCAGTTCAGACTGTCCTTGAACTCACTATGTAGCCCAGGCTAGCCTCGAACTCACAGCAGTCCTTCTGCCTCAGCTTCCCGAGTTCTGGGACTACAGGCATGTGCCACCAGCCCGGCTTACTTTACCTTTCTGGGCCCCAGCCTTCTCTAGGACTTCAAGAAACAGGAGCTGTCAACCATCCCTGGACAGGGGCCCCTCCCCCAACCTCTCCATCCCCATACTGGCCTGACCGGGAGCCAGACAGGATTGGTGGGGTGCCTGCAGTCACACACACCCTGGCCACTGTCCCCCACCCTCAGGACCTCAAGCTCACTTTCTGCATTTTGTAACAATGCAGCAGAGGCCTGTGGAAGCAGAGGGAATCCGGGTTGGAGTCAGGGTGACCTCAGATCCCTCAGGGTGTGGGGGCCTCTACTGACACCCAGCTGTGTTTATCCTTCTCTGTATCTTATTTCTTTTTCTTGGTGAATAATGTTCCATCGTATGGATGTGCCATGGTTTCTCTGTCCAGTCACCAGTTGAAAGACTTGATTTCTTCCAGCATTTTTGGGGGGGGGGGGGTTGAGGCAGTGTCTCCCTTTGTAGTTCCGGCTGGCCTTGAACTCACTATATAGCCCAGGCTGGGCTTCCGGCTTTTAGCAACTAATAAATAAAGCTGCTCCAGTCACAGGAAAATTTTTGTGGGGACATAGTTTCATGCCAAGTGTGCAAATACCTGGGAGTGTGACTGCTAGTTAGATGGGCTGGTGAGCGGTGTATAGCTTTGTAAGAAACTGCCAAACAGGGCCCAGGCTTTAGCTCAGTGGTTCTGCCGCTTGCCCTGAAAGCCCAAGGACCTGAATTTGATCCCTGGTACCAAAAAACAAAACAAAACAAAGAAACTGCCAAACAATGTCTTCCAAAGTGGCTGTGTAATTTTGCTTCTGCACTCGTAATAAATGTTTCTGTTTTTCCATCCTCGTCAGCATTTGGAATTGTCAGTTTTTTGAATTTTAGCTATTTGAATAGTTTTGTAGTTGTATCTCTTTGTTTAAATTTGTAGTCCCATAATGACAAATATTTGTTTGCTTTTTGTACATTTTCTTTGATGAGGTACTAGCTTGGAACTTTTCCCCGTCTTTAAATTTAGTTTTCTTTAAGAGACACTGTTTTAAAAGTTATTTGTATATTTTTGGATACAAACCTTTCACCAGAAATGAATTTGTAATTATTTTTGCCAATACTGTAGCTTGTCTTTTCATTGTCTTAACAGTCTCAAAAAAAAAAGAGTCTCTTTTGGGGGCCAGGGATTTAGCTCAGTGGTTCCACTGCCTGTCTCGCAAGAGTAAGGTTCTGAGTTCAATCCCCAGTACCAAAAAGAGTCTTTTTTGCTGGGCAATAGATTTTACTTTAATAAAGTCCAACTTACTTTTTTCTTTCATGAATCAATCTTTTTTTTTTTTGGTACCGGGGATTGAACTCGGGACCTTGCACTTGCAAGGCAGGCGCCGGAACCACTAAGCTAAATCCCTGGCCCATCATGAATTAAACTTTTGATGTTGTATCTAAAGCTTATCATCAAACCTAAGGTCACATTGATTTTTCTCTTATATTTTCTTGCAGACATTTTACAGTCTTAACTTTACATTTTAGTCTACGATTCATTTTGAGTTAATTTTTGTGGAAAGTATAAGTTCTGTGCTTAGATTGTTTTGCATAGAGTGATTATAGTTTGTTGAAAACACTATTCTTTCTTCATGCTTTTTGCTGCCTTGTCAAAGATCAGTTGACTGTATTCGGTTGTGTTAATCTCATACTGTCTTGATTACAGTAGCTTTATAATACATCTTAGTGTCAGCCTTCTGACTTTGTTCTTCTTCAGTATTGTCGTGGCTCTTCTAGGGTTTCTGCCTTTCCATATAAATTTTATAATCAGTTCTGATGCTGAAATTTTTTATTGGAATTGTATTAAATTAATATATCAAAGAAGAATTAGCATTTTAACAATCTTAACCTGGGTCCTCCAAGCCATGGACGCAAAATTTCTCTATTTATTGAGAACTTCGTTAATTTCTTTCATCAGTTTGTAATTTTCCACATACATATCTTATATTTATTTTGTTAGACTTATTCCTAAGTATTTCTTTTCTTAGATGATGATGTTATAAATTGCATATACATAAACTATATCTAATCTATAGCAGTAGCAGTGATGGCAAACATTTTAGAGCTTTCAGTGATAACAAACAGCTGGCTGTGACATGTATGCCATAGGTTCTCTACCACTGGTCTATAGTATCTTTATAATCAGACTATGATTTTACACTGTTGGTATATAAGAAAGCTACTGACTTTCTTGGTGTCTCATTTGTTTGTTTGTTTGTCTTTTTTAAGGTTTCTTTGAGACAGGGTTTCAACTATGTAGTTCAGACTGGCCTTGAACTCACAATGTAGCCCAGGCTGATCTTGAACTTGCAGCAACCCTCTTGCCTCAGCCTCCCGAGTGCTGGGATTACAGGCTTGCACCACCACACCTGGCTGACTTTCTTTTTTGTTTATTTGTCTGCTTTTTTGTTTTTGTTTTTGTTTTTTTTTTGGTACCGGGGATCGAACTCGGGTCCTTGAGCTTGCACAGCAGGCAGCGAAACCACTGAGCTAAATCCCCAGCCCTTGTTTGTCTGTTTTTGAGACAAGGTCTCATATATAGTTCACGCCGGCCTTGGACTCACTATGTAGTCCAGTCTGGCCTCGAACTCACATCAACTCTTCTGCCTCAGCCTCCTGAGTGTTGGGATTACAGGTGTGCGCCTCCATGCCCGACTTGACTTTTATATATTAACCTGTGTCCTGTGACCTTGCTAAACTGGCTTATTAGTTCTAGGGATTTTCCTTCCTTTTCTCTTTTTTGTCTTTCTGTCTGTCTGTCTATTCTTAGGGACTCTCTACCAAAAAAATTATATCATCTCTGAACAAAGACAGTTATGTATCCTCCTTCTCAATCTGTACTTCCAATTTGCCTTTCTTGTCATAGTCTAGGAGCTACTACTTCCAGCAGGATGTTAAAGGGAGGTGAGGAGAGAGGGCCTTCTTGCTTACTTTACATCTGAAAACATTGTTTCTCACCACTCAGTATGATGCTAGCTGGATGCTTTTTGTAACATTCTTAATCAAAATGAGGACATTTTTCTGTTTTTTGTTTGCTGAGGTTGTTTTTGTTTTTTAATCGTAAATGAATATCAGATTTCTGCCAACTTGGGGCGGGGGTCTTTCTCAGCTTTTCACTGTGAGAGCTAAGCAAGGTTCCTAGAGTTAAACCCACAGAGATACGGCACTCCCCCCCTGCACTGCAGAGCCCAGTCACATCATCTGGAGTGTCAAAATGACTCTCAGGGTCCCACCAGTTCATCGTTTCCATGGCTTTTGCTCTGGACAAGGCAGTTTTAGTTGTGAGTTTCTGGATTCGCTTCTCTCTAGATCTCAGTGTGATAGTTAAACCCAGCAACTCGTTTTCTGATGGGTGCCAGAAAAGTTTCTGGTTTTCATTTGTTTAGCGTCTTCTTGTGGTGAGGGTGGAGTTACAGTTTCCAAGCTCTGTGGAGAGTGGAGTTGACACTGGGTATCCTGTCCTCATTGTCAAGGGTGTGTGGTGATGTTTTTTGGTGTGTGTGTACCAGGGATCAAACTCAGGACCTTGCACTTGCAAGGCAGGTGCGGTGCCATCCTGGCCCCTGTGTGTGGTGATTTTGCAAATATTTTCTCCCAGTTTGTCAGCTGTTTTTTAATTTTATCTATAATTATTTTTTACATTTTTCTGTAGTATGGTGTGAGAAATAGATCTAATTTCTTTCTGTTTTTCCTAGATGTTTACCCAATTTCCCCAACATCATTTGTTTAAAAATCCAGAGATAGGAAGATGCAGCCTGAGGTGGTTTTGTGGTAGTGGTATAATAGCTCTGTATCTTGATTATGGTAGTGGTCACATGGATCTGTTGTACATAGAACAACAGAATTCCTATATAAAATTACATAGGACTTGGATAGATGGGGTTGAGGATGTAGCTCAGTGGTAGAGTGCTGGCCTGTCTAGTATGTTCAAGACCCTGGGTTTAATCCCCAGGAATTCAAAAGGAAAGGAGAGGAAAGGAAAGGAATGGAGCAGAAAAGAGAGAAATGAGAAGAAAAAAGATCTTACACATACATGACTGTATGTGAGAAATGGTGAAAACAGAATAGACTGTCATCTAGTTAACAGTATTATGCCACTGTCAGTTTCCTAGTTTTGGTGTTGTACTACAGCCCTGTAAGGTGTCACTGTCGGAAGGACGTGGGTGAAAAACACAGGGAACTCTATGGACCACTTTTGCAACTTCCTGTGAATCTATAATTTATGTAAAAGGAAAAAGTTAAAAAGAAATCTACCTTTGCTTCAGTGATTATAGATGCTTCCCTGTTTTTTGTTTTTTTTTTTTTGGTACCGGGGATCGAACTTGGGACCTTGTACTTGTGAGGCAGGCAGAGGAAACACCAGCCCTCCCTTTGATATTTTGAAAGTTGTACATTCTATTTTTATTAGGTTCTAGGATATCTTTAATATTTTAACAAAGTTAATTTACTTAACCCCAAATTTAATTTATAAGTTAATTAATATCCGTGCCTCCCTCCTTCTGAATAATATAAGAATCTTAGAATGCTTGAACCACAATGTCTCTAGTTTGATATGGATTGTTATTCAGTATAGGTTTGAATTCTGTCTTGTGTTTGTAGAACTCCAGTTATTTGTATTATTTCAGAAGATACCTTTTTTGGGGGATTTATCCACATTTGCCAATTTCT